CATGAACAACTTTTGATAATACAAATGACACACAGCGAGGACATGCGCCTGTGTTCTACCGTACAGCGATGTACGTATGGTGCCACATCGTAGAAAACCACGCCATCTTCTTGTTCCATCGCATAGGACATGCAGGTAGCGTGTACTACGCGATGAAATAACAGCCAAGGTGTTTTGGTCACTTCAGCATCACATGTGATTATTATTGCTCAGAGTTATTTGGCATTTATAAAACACCAGCGAATTAGCTAAAGCACCAGGTATTTATTCAACTTTGTAACACAGTTACAGCAGAAGTACCACTCTTTTAGCCACGTAAAACCGACGCCAAAACAAGTGCAAAGCACAATAGAATTACGAACGACATAGTGTTGAACTTGTATTGGCCAATATACTTCGCAAAATGATTTTTCTGACAAATCAAGTCTTGCGATTTAGAATAGATCCATTTCATTGGCCAAAATACTAGCTTATCGCTTTAGCTACTACTACGTAGTATTAATACTGTAACAGTACTATTAATAGTATTAAAACTCCATACGTATACTGTACAGTAGTATTACGTATTAATAGTACTACAGTACTACTGTACTGGTACTGTATTCACAGTTAACTGTTAACCAAGACCTTCGATAGCGAGGTTTCTACAGTTAAACTGCTGATATATGTGCCTTTTTGTGAACCGCGTCATCCAAGAATATACGTTGCTTCGGTTAGTACCTCGATTAGTATATTCTGGTTCAACTATCGGTACTCGTCGACTATATACTAAGCGTTGTGCTTGACCCACTCGAGTTCCGACTCGACGAGCGTCGTTAGCCGCATGAGCAGCTGCGTATTTTGCCCCAACTCGAGTCCGCGCGCCAGCAGCATCTAGTCATCCCTGTCATGAGAACTACTACTAGTACTACTACTAGTAGTACCTGCTCGACATCTTTGCGCAGAAACAAAAACGCCTTGTCGAACCGGTCCTTGTCCACGCCTCGTTTATACAGAGGGTACTCTCCGTGAGGATCATTCACATCGTCCCGCATATACGACCGCGATGATAAATGGACGATCGCATATCGGAGGTTCACATTCAAGTACTTGGCCACCAAAAATACAAAGTGCGCAATGTACCCCAGCGCTGTAGACAACAACTCTTCGTCTTTTCCTACGCAAAACAAAAGATTGTTAAAGGTCATCGTTTTTACTCCAGTTGGATACGCTTGCCTAGCTATATTAAACGAATAAACTAGACGATCAATCACGCTCGACGGCAATGGGTGTAGCATATGTATGTACGTATGCAATAGATGTAACACTACTGTTGTTTTTTCTATCGACGGCAATAGTATCATATATAGTAGTTGTAATATGATATAATATCGACGGCAATATTATAATATAAATGTCACATTGAGGATAGTCTATCGACGGCAATATTATATATATATATATAACATTGATAGGATTCTTGGGTTTGAACAATATTTACTCGTATACTTTGGATGTATTGGTTAAACCCAACACAATCACACATATATTCCCACAAATTCCAATACTCGAGTAAAAGGGTAGAGCATATCACACCCTATCATATACCACTCCGTCCCAAATCACTGACCCGTTTGATGTTTGCCACATTGTGGTTTTATGACCAATCATTGGATTTGTGTGAAATTTGTACCAACCAAAAGAGTACGATCTTAGCTATAAGGTCATATAATTATATTGCCATTCTTCCAAAAACTGCGTGTGTATTCTTCAAATAAAATCAGCCGCTCAACCCAAAATTTTCAAATGTTCACCGGACTTGAAGAATGTATGGAGATTGTCTCAAATATATCGAAAACAAGAGGTGACTTATAATTTAATTCCCAGGAAGATGCCTACATGTACCCATGTCGCCTTCCTTGTGATTGGCTCAACTGTACTGGATAAAGTAATATGTTCAATAAAATTGGTTGCTTTCTAATTTCACAACTAATAGAATGTCCAAACGTGTCAGTGATTTGGGACGGAGTGGTACACCAGAATGAATCCATTCGTAGTGTCAATAGTGGGACTCGTTTCAGCAGAGAATCGAATAAATTAGACAATCGGGTTTGAAAGAATACCCCAACCACGAGAGAGATATACGGCAATACTGTGTTCGACACACACATAATACCGTTGGTAGCATCGGCATTGCTAAATTTGATGCCCCCGATGGAATACTCGCCCGCCCCGAGGTACGCAATGGGGTAAATGTCATACAATTGTACGACCAACGTCGCCTGCAACGCGCGGATGCTGTGCGCGACCCGCAGGACGTCCATGCTAACAAGGGCCATCTGGAGACTGAACATGGCTCCAATACGTATGATGTACCGTCGGTAGAGAATGCCAGTGTTCATCTCGGCTTGCTTGGCGTCCAGATGGGACAGCTGCGCCAACGTCCGCGGCAACCGCTGGTCGGCAGACAGCATGTGCTTTTCTACCTTGAGCACCGATTTTACTACCACAACATTACAGCTTTTAGCTTCTTTTACTTTGGGTGAATATTTTAGAGATAATATCAATATGCATCAATATGTATCGTTATGGAGACATCATAGACCGTTGTGAACGCACATTCGCTTCCATGAAGCATACGCAAAAACACTTCCGAGTGGTTGGCAATATACTACACTATATATCTATGTATCTATATATATGCTACGTAGTATTTATATCTTGATGACTTCAGAATAATAATAGAGATATACACATTCTAACTTGCATATCCTCCACTAATATATATATATATGACGGGATAGTATATTGTACATCCGTCATGCAAACACAAAAAACGAATCAAAAACGTCACCCTTTGCAGTATAGTCCAATACAAGCATGTATCACCCCAAGATTAAGAAAAAACTCTACTATATATATATAAACAATATAAATAGAATCTTGTCATGTATATATATATACCTTGGTCCAACGTTTGTTGCTTTTGTAACGCTTGCTTTCGTAATGCGAATATCCGAGCTTGTACTTCGAGTCGGGCATTCTCCTACGACCACACTGCAGTAGGAATCCACGAGCATAGTGAAACCAATACATTGTCTTTACACGACCCATCTATCTTTTGCATATATATATATATATTGATGCAAAAGTTAGCAGCGTGGTATATAGATATATAAGCAAAAGATAGATGGGTCGTGTAAAGACAATATATATATATATATTGTCTTTATATATATATATACATTGACAAGCACCTTGGCATCGGCAGCCGCCTCCAGGGCCAGTTGCTCTTCGACCAATTGCCGCTTTGCAGCGACATCCGCCCGCGCGAGTCGGATCTGACGATGCAGGTTGATGGTCGAGTCCACGAGATCGGCGGCAGTGGCCATGTGGAACTCGGACTGCAGAGGTTGCGTCGATAGCAAAGCGGGAAAATCTATCCAAATGGATCATATATATATATCTATATATATATATTCAAATGGGTAATATATATTTAGGGTCTTTCTAGTAACCGGAAATATTGCAATATTCTGGCCCAAAACGCCATATTGGGGCCAAAATTCAACAAATCTGAGATCACAATTGAAACTTGTTTTTTTGCTTAAACAGTTTTAAATCCAATAAATACTTCCACGTGGGAGGATTTACTCGTTGAAGAGGTCCAAAACGCCATACTATTTCAAAATAGACGACCTTTTACCTCCATTTTGAAAATGGCATATTTTTAATTTATCGCATTTTGCGAGAAAATGGAATATTATTTTTGAAATGTTACCAAACGCACCCTTATATATCATATGTATTGATGGGTATTTATCCTCCCCCATCCATTCAATTGGATCATATATATATATATATATATGATCCAATTGAATGTATGGGATATATATATATATATTTCTGATGGATATTTCCACACGAACAAACCAACCAAACGTATCATATACGTCCAAGAATAGCATGGCAAGGGACATATGTCATGTGACATACCCCCTCTTGGCACGCGACGGGCCTTGATCACGTCATTCTGAACCAGCATGCTCATCACGTCCCGTCTCACGTAGTACGTCGATGCAAACTCGAGCACGAGGGTATTCAGAGGCAAGTAAAACAGCTCGCGAAAGTCGCACTGCAGCGGCTCCAGTTCGTCCAGGTCGATGTGGAACCGGAACACTTCTTCCTCAAAGAACGACTCTTCGTCGTCGTCCGCGCCGCTGTCGTCGTCATTGTCTCGCATGTCCTCCTCCCTACACGGCAACAACTCGATCGGAACGAGAACGAGGTAAGGACACGTACGACACGGGATGCTGCGGGTGGACGAGGTCCAAGTCGTACGTGTCTTCGTATTCGTCCTCTTCATCCTCTTCGTCGATGCCTTCATCGACCGTGATGTGGTCGTTCGCGCCAACGAGCGGATGGAAGAAAGAACTGTGGCTCGACGAAGCGGCGTTGATCAAGCGATACACGACCACGTCAAAGCCCATGTCGTCCTCCGCCAAGTACCTTGACGCGTGCTGCTGCGATGGATCGTCCGAGTGCAGGTCCACAGTCGCCCACACAGGATTCAACGTCTTGGTGGCGACTTCGCTCTTGTACAGCTCACAGTCGTGACACATGAGCCGGAAGAACAAGTCCGGCAGCGCGATATCCGCCGAGGGGTTCATGGAGACCACACTTGAGTGACCGTTAGAGAAACCACCTCCCAGCGTCGCGTGGCGGAGTGCCACCGTCTTGAGCTGGGACCGCGTCAGGCCGCGGTGTCCGCTCTGCATCATGATCAGGTGTGAGTGTAGAATCGTTCAAAACTAGATAAATAGTGTGATGCACAACGACACCTCCAAATAGTGTGCGATTTCCTAACTGATTAATATTGTGCTTTTCGGTTAAACTTGCCAATTGTGAGCCATTGTGAAAATCGCCAACAAATAGCCGCGATGATTTCATTGGTTAGAATTTCGAAGATTTGGACAGAAAATAGACATCCAACTCAGTTTTCCACAACTGCCTGGGCAGTACGACGAAGTGTAGTCGCACATTGCGGTAGTGCGGGCGTCCAGTTGGTGTACTTGAGATGTTTGTGTGTACTGTACTGTACATATGTGTGCATGTGTGTTGGGGATGCGAAGAGACTCGCATACGAAGCCTACGCGCTCAGGTGTTAATGCTGCAAGATTGGATCGTCGTCCATTGACTCAGCTCAGGAAACTGCGTCATAATAGGGGTGATTATTATCGATTGTTTTGTGAGAGAAATCCCACTTTTTGTCATTGGGGTCATTTCGCGGACATTCGGATCGGGGCGATTTAAGAACCGCCCATGGAAATTTGTAGTAGAACACACAATAAATGATATCAAGTACTAGGGTAACGAATAACGTTAGTAGTACTATGTAGTACGTAGTAGTAATATACTATTAATATTAATACCTATTAATAGTACTTACTGTACTGTAGTACTGTAGTACTGTACTGTACTTTTACATCAGTGTATGGTGCACGTCATCTAAAAACTTCCAACTGGCCAAATCGAGGAGTGGAGGTTTTATTATTTAACGTACAATTAATGTAGTTAAACCCAAAACCAAAATACGTTAAATACCGATTTCATGCGTTTTATCACTGCAGTGGGAGGTTAAAGGTCCCAACTGCCTCCGGATATTATATACGGATAAGAGTCACATACAAAAATCAAGATACACTTGAGCGGCCACCCCTATGGCCAAATATCCAAGCGCCCATGTAAAATACCGCTAGGTTAAATATCTATTTCTGGACCAATTCATAACCAAATTTGAATCAGACGTAGAATTTCTTCATTACATTGAGATCTGTCGATTCTACGTCTCAATTTGCTGAAATTTTGAGTAATGAATATGAAATAGAAGTCAGACATTTTTGTGAAAAGTTGGTAGTTTATACGGAGTAGATGACGTGCACCATACTAGTATCAATAAACGTTAGTATATTAACGTCACAGTGTAATCGCTCTCAAACATGATACTATTAATACACTGTACTTTCGCACTTGCTAAAAGTCCTTAGTACGGAGTACTAACGTTACTACCTTCTTGTACTACTACCGGTAGTACTATTAGTACTACGTAGTACTACTCCGGAGTATGGAGTACTACAAGTAACACCTAACGTTAGTCCGCATGAAAAGACATGAAGGTTACTGTAACTTGAGAGCATTGAAAGGCAACACATGAGACATGGTTGATTTCGAAGCTTAAAAAGCAAGAATATTTATTGAAATCAGTTAAGACTAGTCTATACATTCTTCCATAATCAATGCTTGTACAGAATGCATACCTTATAATTGACCATAGATACTTCATGAACGAAACATAACCTTTACAATCCGATACCTTGTCAACCTATATATACACAAACATCTGACTGCTAGACAGTGAGAAAAGATCGCCGCCAATAGATCGCGCTTTTCGTGAAGGGACACTCTTGATATGGCCGAATTCGAATGATAAAATCTTCAGAACATCTTAGCATTAGTTTCCAATTCCCTGGGCTGGCCGAAAGAAGACTACCGCACGGAGAAGACCAATTCTGGACAACGACAGTCATGAATGCTCCGCTGTTGTCGAGTTCATTCGCAGATACATCGGCGATGTGCTGCAAGTGCGTGGAGAGGGCTACCCACTCGTGTGTCGAGTGCGACCTGCTGTACTGCCTAGTGTGCAGTGACCAACGCCACAGCAAAGGCTCGTTCCAGCGCCACACGGTCACAACGATCGCCCCCGCGTTGCAGTCGATCCAACGTGGCGCCTTCATCACGTGCGAAGAGTGCACCCAGGGCCATGCCGTGCTACACTGCTCAGCGTGTGAACTGGCGTATTGCAGCCCCTGCTCCAAGGACATTCATCGCAGCGGCGCGCTGCAGCACCACAGCCGCGACTGCTTCCACTACCTCCCGCTGGTGTCACCTGCCAAATCGTCCCCGTTGCAAGCCTTGTCCAACAACGACACTTCGTTGGGGACCATGTGGTGTCGAGGTGGCTGGAGCAGTCGGCTGCTTGACAATCGACCGTCGTCGGCCGACAGTGGTGTGGGTTACGGTGGCAGTGGCGGCGGCGAGTCCCCTAGCTTCCTCTCGCCGCATCATTCGGTAAGTACTGTACATGAGACATGTGATTCCCCAACCCAAAGCAATCAATCACTCTGTACAGTGGACGAATCCTGCACACGATACCGTATCGACATCGTCGTCGTCCAGTGACGGCGACACCAAGTCATGCCTAGGAGAAGGTGGTGATGATGATGGAGGCCGACCCTCGTTCACGGCAGCGTTCATGTCGCTTGCATTAGAGCAGCAGCAGCAGCAGCAGCAGCAGCAATCGGTCGGTACTACAACGACCACCACCACCACCACCATGAATCCTCTGTGAAACGACGATCGGACGCATCTTGTCTATCTTGTAGACTCTGCCGGAAACAAGCCAGTCGGCCGTGGAAAAGCTGTCATGGCGCCACGTCACGAACAACAACAATAACCTAGAGGACACTTCAGTCTTATCGCGAAATCAACTCGAAGATTTGTTTGAAGCGCTGGGATCGTCCACGCCGACCCGCCATGTGGTCGTGCGCAGCTCGGGGCGGCAATTGACTCGACATCAAGTGGCCACACTCGACCACATCCTGCATGTACCCATCATCATACTCTCTCTCTCTCTATATATATAGGTACTTTGAACCGTATCTCACATGGGATGTAGACATTTGGACAGTGTGCACACTACGACACCACGTTTGCATTGTCGCATGGGGTGGTCTTGTACACGTACTTTGACCTTCGCGACGCTGCCAAAGCCGTGCAAAGTGGCTCTGGCACTAGCACGTTGCTCAACCAGTTGATTGCAGTCGACTTTGCCGTACCCGTCCTCACCACATCATGGTCCGGATCGATCGTTATCACAGTCGACATCTCCACAGCCAATAACCAACCAAGGGCTACCCTAGTACGTGATATACATGCATTTTGTTCCGAGTATGCCGACGTGGCATCCATATCTCGGCAAAACCAAGCCAACGACGACAAGGCGTTCCTTGTCGAGCTGTGCGACTCGCGGGACGTCGAGCCCGTGCTCGCCAACATGCACAACGCCATACGTGGCTCGTTTCGCGGCAACTTTGCCGTGTCCTCTGCAGAAGTTGCTCCTGTCGTTGTACATCCTCTAGCCACAACATTTCAAGCAGCCGCGGCGGCCGCTATAGCCACCGGGAATCCATCCTTTATGCACACACCCAGTATCACATCCACGGACGAGATGTGGACAACGTATGGCCATTACCCTCCAGTTCCCGAAACGTGGGACGATAGGGGGGCGCCGCCTTTGCCGCCATCGCCATCGCCTCCATATCAACCCCCGTGTTACTACTACTACTACTACTACAATGACATGCCACCCCCTCTACCTCGCCAAACGTTAACTCCGTCGGTCGTCGTCGTCGCCCCCCCCCCCCCGAACGAATATAGCCTCGGCATCGATCGCGTCGGCGAGGACACCCGCACCACGCTCATGATTCGCCACATCCCCAACAAGTACACGCAGGCGATGCTTCTCGCCGAGATCAACGGCCTCGGCCACCATGGCGCGTATGACTTTTTCTACCTCCCTATTGACTTCAAGAACAAGTGCAACATGGGCTATGCCTTTGTCAACTTTATGACGACGGATGCGATCGTTCCGTTTTACAAGGCGTTCAATGGCCGACGGTGGCGCTGCTTTAACAGCGACAAGGTGTGTGCGATAACGTACGCCCGACTGCAAGGCAAGGCGGCTATGGTGTATCGATTCCAAAACTCGAGCCTGCTTGACAAGCACGAGAGCTACCGACCCCTCGTTTTCAAGTCATCTGGGCCAGACAAGGGCGCCCCTGAACTGTTTCCTCGCACTGTATCGCAGTGGAATCGACCGAGTGGCCTCGTCGCAGACTCGGGGGAGTCGACTTTGCCTTCTTCGTCATCTCGACCAACGCCACCTTTGTCGTCGTGCGTAGCCCCGCCGCCAGCTCACAATCACCCCATCGACAGGACTACTAGTACTAGTACTACTACTCCAACTCGTGGACAGTATCGCACAAATATCATGCACGGACGTGGACCTCCTTCCGCGTATCTACCATCATCACCACCAAAAACATCCCATCAAGTGCAGTGTTCCAGCAATTCCATCAGCATCACCTCCATGCCGCCGTCGTCGTCATCGTCACCCTACGACCCATCACATGGAGCCATCAAAAGTGTCCATGGCGGTGGACGACATGATTACTTGGACGCGGTGACGACCAACCAACCTCTTGCGCTCGCGGCACTGCACGCGTGATTTGAAATTTGCAGACATGTATGGAACGTTATATATATATATAGTAGTAGTACATCCGTGCTATACTCGTGTTGGTCATTCTTGAGTACAACGAAAGTACTCATAGTCAAGTACTACGGTAGTAATATTTGGGAGATTTCGCAGTTTACTGTCAATACTTGTATAAAAGTTTCGTCATTTCCATCCAAACTTGGTCTTGTTTATGTGTTTATTCTAAACTGGAGCGATATGGAGGAGAATGAATCGACCCAACCAAATGGACACAAGAATCGACAGAAGAATTGAACCAATCAGATTGCTATCATCAACGTCAAATTAGTGTGTGTGACTTCAATTAGTGTGATACCAATCACCACAGGACACTTGGTAACATTCAAAATTCAGTACAAACAATCGATCGATGGGTTTGGCGAATCAGCACAAACGTCCAAATTTTGGGTTATAGACAATACTAATACCAAAATTCCATTTTATCGGGACTTGTGAAATCACAGCACATTAATACAACATATACAACATACTATTAATACTGTAGTACTCCGGAGTGCCTACGTGTACTTTTGAAATACTAAAGTAGTTTCAATATTGTGCATTTCACCACCCAAATTTGGACTTGTGAGTCATTTTATACCAAATAGCACTCGAATCTACGTGTTCCAATTGAAGCTTGTACAAACTATACTATCCAAGATTCGTATATATATATATGGTTTTGCCCAATGCGGATATACACTGGGGCGAATCAAACGTTTGGATTGGTAGAAATTCACTAGGACGTTATTTGATTGGCTTAGGCGGTTCTTTAATCCATTCTCCAATTTCGAATCGATTTGAAAACAATACCTCCATAACCTTATACAACCTGTTACGTCGATAAGGTTTGCCAATCTAAAGCAATTCATATTCTATAGAAGGTGCTAAGTCATGTCTTTTCTGGGGCTCTTGGGCCCAGTCGAACAGCTCACGCGGGCTTTTTCGGTGGCGGACAGCGCGCCGCTTTGCTTGGGGGCTTTGGTCGCTGGCTTCGGGACGCTGGCCGAGGGTGGCAGCGTCGTCGAAGTCGACGGCGGCGGCGATTTGAGCTGGCCGAGCGCAACATTGCGACAACGTTGGGCAAAGTTGAGTGAGCACAACGACTCACTCGCGTTCCACTGCACCGGACTCACGTTGACAAACATCAACACCTGGATATACACACATGACTTGAGATCCACCGGAATATATATATATATATATATATATATACAGATTGGCGTACCTTGGAATTGCCACTGAGCGACTCTTGTAGCAAAAACGTCTACGAAACAAAAATATTACACACAATATCAACCACCCGTTACTTGGACAACTACTACCCAAGCGTATGACTCGCCACATAGGAAGATATGGAAAGACAACATATAATATATATATATATATATATACAGAATTCTATTCTGCGACGACGTACGAGCTTGGAATTTCGGTAAGGAACGTGCTTGCTATGGCCACCCAGGGACGAGATGACGTCCCCCAGCGCAGACAAGGACCGGTTGATGTGCTGCGCTTCCTTGAGACGTTGGCCACTTGCAGCCGTTTTACCTAATAATATGTGAAATCCATACTATAGTACTAACTATATACACACAAAAAATTAAATAGATTATTTCCACAACCACGAAACCAACATCTGTTCTATTACCAAACAAACGCAGCTCATAGCCACATAAACCACAACTTTATATATATATATATTATATATATATACATCACAACAACAACTGCTCCTTATGGTACGTTCGTTGTAACTATCAACAATTCTATGCATTCACACACACCACATCAACCAACCATACATCACATCACCACCACGATAACAACAAGAATACGTATTGCATGAATTATATTCACACATATAACCAACAATATATATATATATATATACCAATCCTACATCACATAAAAACCACAAAACTTGCATCAACAATATTCCTAAAGTACCAACTATATATATATATATATATATATATATACCAATCCTAGGTCACATAACAACCACAAAACTTGCATCAACGATATTCCATAAGAACCAACTATATATATATATATATATATACAGCGTACTGATGCGCTCCGAGCCGGCAAGGTCGATCAAGTGCAGCTTGGACGTGGTTTTCTTGGAAGGATCTGATTTCTGCGACGTGGTGATGGTGATGGACAGCACCAGATGCGACCGACTGCTGTGCTCGTTGACGTCGTGCGCGCCGACGCTGCGGTGCGAGTGCCCAAGTGCCATGAGGTCGGCCACGTCGGCCGTCGAGTGCACTTCCACCTCCATCAAGTTGTCCACGAACGCACCTTGCTTGCTCATGCGAACTTCCAGTGCCTTGCGGTCCCCAGAACAGGTGCTTCCATCTAATAATATTATAATACCCTTCAATCCATAGAATACCAACTATTTTATATTCCAAGGTTGTCGTACTGGGTGGTTGTGTGTCGTCCAACAAGTCTACGATCGTTTCTACGATATCACCGCCAAGTTAGTATAATTCTACACTGTACATATATATATATATGTAAAGGAACAGTAACAACACACGCTCCATATAAATATATATATATACATATACATATATATATATTTAATGGAACAGTAACAACACACGATCCAGACTCGATCGTGGAAGCGATGGGGTTAGGTATACTATATATATATATATATATATATATAAAGATGGTTGGGACAGTATATATGTAGGTAATAATATATATATAGATATATGTACTCGTACCGTTGTACACTTCGAGGATGCTCAGCTTCATGTCGCAGTCAAAGTTGCCACACAACATGCGCTCATCCCGCACGCGGAAGAGTTCCGCCATCGCGCGGAAGTTGACGCCGCGGTCGTCCGACGGCCCTTCCATCGTGTGCGTCTTGCCAGATCCAGTCTGGCCATAGGCAAAAATGCACACGCTACAAATGTCCATCATATTCAAACCACGTCACACATGCCAAACCAAGACAATGGTTGACCTCGACCAATCAAAGTCGATGGTACGATTTCAAGAAAAGAATTCTAAAACCACTTCAATACACGGAAGTAGCCATATCCCCAGCCAATAATATACATGCAAATCAAGTTTACGATTATATATATATATATTGCTAGCAAATGAGTTTGCGTACTTGAATCCGTCCAAGGCGCTCACGACCAACGCTTTGGTTTGTTCAAACACGTCGAGTTGGGCGCTTGTGGGCTACAACATATACATACATCATCCACGTTATCAATATATATATATATATATATATACATACAACATACAAGGCGATCGTATATATGTATATATATAAATAAAAATATCATTCAAGGCCATGTTTGATCGATCGCCTATTTTGTAAATAATATATATATATAAACACTATCTCATTTTGATCGTGGGAATCAATATATAATATACTCTACGTACTTGAAACACATAGTCAAACTCAAATGTGTGCTTGGGGCCTTCTGCCAGAGTCAGCTCCAGCACTTGCGGGTCCTCCCGTCGGAACGTCACGACCTCCGCCGACTCGGCACTGGCGCGCTCCACGTCGGACGTCGGGCGGACCCGGCAGAACACGCGGATGTTGCCGCCCAATTCCATAACTTTGTTGTGCAGGTGCCGCCGCGCCTTGGTTTCCGCCGCATACAATTGCGCCAGCTGGTCTTTCTCTGCCACGGCCGCACACACCAATCCTTGCATCTACACGACATGTATTATGTATGTATCGTTGGATTATGTAGATCTGGTCATATTGTTCGCATTGATATATATATATTATATATTGTCGACAATATATGGAGTCAGCACGAAGTCATTATATATGGCTACTCAAAGTCTCACGTCCGCACACTATATGTCGCATTGAATTTTCGTTGTGGACGATGCCTTCAATTAGTGTGAAATGAGACACTGATAACATAGACACATCTCAGGACAAACAATCGATCGATGGACTTTTGGTTTCAACAACAATATATATATATATATATATTGATATATATGCATATATCTATGCATTTTTGTATGTACGTACGTTAGCCGTGGCAGCGGCAACAGCTGCTTGTGTGGCCTGCTCCAACTTGGCTTGCGCATCTTGTTGGGCTGTGACGAGGTTGCGTTCTAACACAGAGATGCGCTCGAGATGGGCGGCGTCGGCGGTTTCTAGCTGGTTGACCCGACTGCGACACTGCGCCGCCTACGAATCAAGTCAGAGTGTAGGTACAATACCCCTGCTGGAAATGTCGGAGTGTATGTACAAACCTCGTGCGAGGCTGCTTCCAATTGCATGGTGATGTCAGTTAATCTAGAAAACACAGAGCCAATGAATAAATCAGGATCTGTGACGTGGTGCCACAGATTCAGCTGTGACGTGGTGACAACACATTCGTACGAGGCTGTTCGCGCCAGCTTGTCGGCTTCAAGTACGCGCACTTGGGCGCGCAGCGCGTTCTCGCTCTCGACCCAGGCGATTTTGAGTTTCTATGGCACCACACATACACCAATACATTAAATACAACATATATATATTATATATATATATATTATATACATCATAACGACACGTACGTCGTGCTCGCTTTGGAGTTGGTTGAGTTGGTCGGCGTGCTGCATACTCAATGCCTGATGATTCACATGGTGGATAACATTAGAGAGATTTTTGTGTGCATTTAAATTGGACTTGAATAGCACTCGACAAATAAAGGTCGATATACGTCCTATAGATATATGTCGAACTGTTTTTGATAGTAGTTCTCCACACATTTGATCGTCGTGCTATATATATATATATATTTAAATATTTATAAATATTCAGCATCCGTCAACACACATCAAGCAATATATATATAGATATATATATATATCGAACCTCGATATTCCCCTTGGCCGCCTGTCGGTCTATTTCGTACTGGCGACTGGCTGCGTCCACTTGAGTCATCAACGCTTGGTGCTGTTCTTCCAGCACTTTGAATTTTTGCTCCCACTGAAACCGGAGCTTCTTCTCTTTGGTCAATTGTTTCTACACGGAATAATATATATATAATATCCATTCAAAATCGATATTATCCGTTCCACAGCAATATTTTCACTAGTATTACCTGCACGTCGTCCGCGGCCGTACTCTTCTCGGCGTCCTGCAGTCGCATCTACTCGATACATTTATATATATATTTATGTATTTATATATTCCGATTAAAAGATTTATTTCAAAATATATGGTGGTATGTCGTACCGTCAACGTTTTCACTTCTTGGCGCAACGTCAAGTTGTCCTGGGCCTCTTTGGCCTTGCTGCATTCGACTTCTCCGTTTGCCATCACCTTTAACACATTGTTAATAGTGATACATATTTATATATGTATATATATATATATGTTGAACACATTGTTTTTAGTGATAAATGTGTATATATATATTGAACACATTGTTTTTAGTGATATATATATATTCATCCTACCACACTAAAATATTTGGCGTTGGCCATTCCATCAGCCATGAATCAAAACAACAGGTTTCAATGATCGCGCTGTCATATGCACTCACTCTTCATATATATATATATATATCTTCATGCCCATTCCTAACAATCCACGATCCACACACACATTCTTTATATATTAATATATAAATACCAGTTGCTGGCGAACTTGCTTGAGTGTTTCCTCCAATTCGGCAACTTTCTCTGCATTCGTGTGTTTATCTCGAGTCGCCGTCGCGAGTTCGTTTTGGGCGGCTTTGGTCGCCTCGTGGGCCGTTCTACACACTCTGGATCATCCCCTGTATCCATGAAATATATATATATATATATATGTATATATATATATAGAAACGGAAACTATTTTTTTCTAATAGTTGCTGGGCTTTCGTACAAGGTTTCACGAAGTTGCGCCTCCAGCTGCCCTGCAATGTCGTGCACTGTCCGCTGTAAGGCGTCCACAACGTCCTGATGTTCCCGCTGCAGCTCGAGCTTCTTTTTGCACTCGTTGAGCTCGGCATACAAAGACTCGACCAGCGCCCGATGGTCATCTAGGCGCAGTGGAACCATCTACAAAATCATCCATTTATATATATATATTAGAGTGTCCATTCCAAACTCGAGTCTTCATCAAAATCGAATATCATGGGAGGATGGATTTATGAACCGTCTAAGCCAATAAAATCACGTTCTGACGAATTTCCACCAACCGCCTAAGCCAATACAATCACGTTCTGTCGAAATATCCACCAATCCAAACGCAGCTTTCGCCCAACGTGATATATATATATACGACACATGGTATCGTATCAGTTTGGACAAGGTTAAAATTATATCCCAACGCCCAAACCTAGTATTTATATATATATGTACTGTACATAGTGTCTGTACACACACATATATATATATACATATATATATAACACGTTCCATGGATATACATATACTAAGTAGTACATGGCGTAGCTTCTGCAAATGGAGGCGTATTGATATTGACGATATCGCTGCTACATATGAAACGAAAAGGGAATCGGCGAAACGTACAAAGTAGGACCATCGTATGCCCAGATAAATTCAAAAATCAAATAAAAAAATATTTCATCAAACATTGATATTGTTTTCAAATCGATTCGAAACTGGAGCAGCCATCAGCAGACTAATCGAATGTGTTAAGAGAATGGATTAAAGAACCGTCTAAGCCAATCAAATCACGTTCTGGTGAATTTCTGCCAATCCAAACGTTGTTTGACTCGGCCCAGTCCCTCCGTAATGTTTGTTATTGGGCAAAACCATATATATACTAATCTTTGTATGGCATAGTTTGTACAAGCTCGGATCAAATGGATTGAATGCTATTTGGTATAAAATGACTCACAAGTCCAAATATGGGGTCAAAGGACAATATGAGACCAAACACTACACGCAGTAACGTACCGCCGCGCCAACGTGGCCAGTCGCGTCTGTTGGTCCCTGCGAGTCCGCAGCTGCTGAAGTATGGCCATGCTTGGTCACCACAGTGTCGTCACCGCCGCCATCGTCATCGCTTTCATCGTCATCGCGAGGACTGTACGCGATGCCCTCCCCCGTGGCTTCACGCACTTCTTCTGCATACTCACTCCAGTCTCCATCGAACCCAGATGCTACCGCTTGATGATGGCTGGGTGGCGATGCTGGATGGAGTTGCGGAGATTCCGCCCACGCATCAGAACTGTACTGCCCATGATTGGCAGCACCGTGGGGATGACTGGTGATGGCAAGATGGCTGGTGTTGGGTTGGTGGTACTGGTGGTGCTGCGTGAATAGCCGCGTGAGACGAACGGCGTCGATGGGTTCCCCCGCCGCTTTCATTCGCGTGGCTTCTCGATACATGGCCTTGTAGTCTTGATCCGATGGATGCTCCCACCGACTGTCACCTGATTCGTCGTTGTAGTAGTATGGCACGCCTTCCTGTGTCATGACCTGGTGCCATCCCGGAGGTATGTCGGCGACCAACGACTTCCGCGCAATCCACAAAAGGTCTTGGTCTCGCTCGGGATCCATGCCGAGGTACTTGGAATGCTCCATCACCCCTTCCATGAATATATCGGGATCGACGCCGCCCAGGGACAGCTCGTCGAATTGCATCACGGCATGTGCGTACCCTTGATGCTGCTGCATAGGCGAGCTTCCATATGATGATGATGGACTGTGCGCAGACGGGCTTGCATGATGGGAGGTACTTCCATCAAATGCTAGCCCGAGTAAACTCATGCCGGCCTCCTGCGTCCGTCGTTGGTCGCTGTCCCATCGCGCGGTCTGGGACCCCATCGGAGATACCGATGCATGCGGGATTGAATTGCGATGGGTTGGACTCATGGAATCGGCTCTGCGAAGTGGTCTTCCAGGCGTATTGGCCGACGACGACACCGCACGGGGAGTGCGTTGCATCCTTGTCGGGAACTTGATTTTGAAACGCACTACATTTCCAGGTCGAAAAATGTAGCATTATCCGGATATTTCTACTGCTCTGTTCCAACCGGTATGTGTACACTTGATTTATGTATGAAGTCCGGATAGAATCCGGCAATTCCCTCTAGCAATACATACTAACATATATCATTTCATAAAGGTATATATACCCCAAAATCTGATATTTCAGCAAATCGCCGCGTCACAGAGACTGTTTTGTGATATTATGATAAATAGCCAGACAGGCGGCGATCGATCGATGAATGCGTTGAAAGTAAGCTGTACTTCGAAGTATATGTTAGGATGCTTCTATCGATGTCAGGTTCCTACAGAAGGTATTAAGAGAGTAATACCTAAGCGTACTGTGAGCGCGTACGATCAAATGTACGAGTCACGTTATGAGACTGAGAATTAAAAAAAGTATTTCTGCCAATCCAAAGCCCTGATTCGATTCAGTATGGGCAATATCTCTGGTGATTCGTAGTATTTACACTAAACTTAGCCAATCAAAGTGGAGACGCATTCTTTTACACCAATCAGACACAGATATAGAACCATATTGAGAGAAAAAGAATTGAAAACAATATTTACTCAATTTCCATCGACACCCACGGCGCCCCCTTCGCCACCGCCACCGACGCGCTCGACGGCAATGCGAATCTCGCCATCCACGTCCAAGTTGGATGTCATGTCGCAGATCAACCGCTGCTTGGACGTGCCCACGATGCGTCCGATGGCGGTATCCGACCCGCCGGCCGGGATGAGCTTGAACACCATGATCATTTCAATTTCCACGACAGTTTTGCCATCAATCAGTTGGATTCCCACATCCACGGGCGCCGCGTCGCTCATTTCCGGGCAAATGCAAAAGTGCGGCGACTGCAGCAAACAATGCACGGCGTCCCACACGTCGCCGCCGCCGTGGGTTCGCGAACTCAAGATCAGCAGCTGCCTTGCAAACGCCATCGCGTCCATCTCGCTCGTCTTCATATGCCGTGACGTGTGCTGCAGCAATTCAATCGCAAGCTCCGACAGCATGTCTTCAAAGCACGAACTCGCGTGCAGGTGGCCGTTGATGCGCAGGACGTCCCGCTGAATGTCCTTGACCGCTTGCGAGAAGTTGCTGCACTTTACTCGCCGCGACCGACTCGAGGCGTCCTCAGACTCGAGGTGCACGTGCAACCACTTGAGCGGAACGCGCAACTTCAACGGGACCGACAGGTGCGACGTACCCTCGACGTCTCGCGACGACGACTCCCCTAGTGTATGTAGATCATAAATGTACAGAAGAATCCGCAGATGGATTGAGCCAATCAGATTCGAGCAAAGTAACATCAACATGTAATTAGTGTGTGCATTAAATTAGTATGATTACAATCACCACAGGACAACTATTTCCCCACAAAATTCAGTAAAGTTACCGATGGAATTGGCGAATCCGCACAAAAAGTCCAAATGTTGAGTAAAAGGACTGTCGATTCGAAGACTTGCGTCAGGAATTGTCAAAATTGGTGAGGGGTGCTAAATCAATCGAATGAGCAGAATCACCAGAGAATCAATGGACCAATGAAAACCCAGAACACGAATCTAGTAGCCAATCAAATCCACTCTTCAATTCAACATCGCATTAGTTTTGTGAATTAAACTAGTGTGACACTGGTCGAATGTTACGTACAAAAGACTAGATTTGGCGAATCAGCACAAAAGTCTAAATTTTGGGTATATACTACTCGAATGAATCGCGACAGACACAATCGATTGACCAATCAAAACCCAGAACACAAATCAAGTGGCCAATCAAAATCACCATTCAACATCGAATTAGAGTCACACTCTAATTAGTGTGATTACCACATTCTCCATACAAAATCCAAATCAAACAATCGTTCGATATGGATTTGCGACAAGATCAGAGTACACTCAGAAGACTACTACAGTAACTTCAGTACATACCCAGTCGCAGCATGTCCAAGAACTCTGACTCTGACGCCGCCGCCAGCTTTGCCTTCAACCGCACCAGATGTTGTTGCGCCTGCGATCCGATTGCGCGCACCCATGCTTCCGTATCCGCCGCCGTCGCCACGTCCAGGACTTGGCGCAGCGTGCCGCCGTCGTCGAAGAGCGCGAACGTGTTTCTGTCGCATTGCGGCGCGCCAGGACGGACGCTCCACCCACTCACGTGGAGCTCCGTGTGCGGCGCGTAGTCCTTTTGGATGCGCTTCCCCATCACGTCCTCGTCCTCGTGGCCCTGGGCCGACAGATGACGCCGTCGAGCGTTGGACAACGCAAACATGTACTTTCTCGCGTATTCCGGCGACCCAAAGAACGACAGCTTCGAGTCCCATAGCACGGCCCAGCACCGCTGCTTTGTGCGCCACAGCGCGCCCCACTTGCCGCAGTCGACGTACCCCTGCATGACCACGTCGATGCCTCGATGGAGGAACACCGGCCGCCGGTCCGTGCTGCGGATCAACTTGAGCACCGCCGCGGCCGTGTCTGGTGTCTGCTGGCTGCGGAGACGCAAGTATAACGTGCGCAGACTCTGCTGCATCACCAGCGCGTTCTCGGTGAGCTGGAGCGCTGCATGAAGCACCAAATCGTGTTGAGAGATGCGCGTGTTATGCTCCATTTCCATGGGGCTGATGTTGAGCATGGACGGGCCGCCACATGACGACTCGACTCGCGTCACGTGCGCTCGTCGCCACCGGTCAATGTCCCTGTCGTTGTTGTACCCAACATCTTCGTCGTAGTCGTCGGGAAGGGACGCAGCATGCGCATGCGAGGAGGGCGACGATAGAAGCATAGGGGACGGAGGATGATGGTGGTCTAGGTCGTGGAGATGCGCTGCGTCAGGGAACATATCCAACGACGGCGATGACGCGGCGGTCTCGTGGAACTCCAAACACACGGTCGTGGGGATCTGCGTGGGGATATCCACGTGTGCCGTCACGATATCGTCGTGCAAAAGGACGGACCCCACCACTTCGCTTCCATCGAGTGCTACACACACACACCAAATGACGCGATGACTTTTTCCAACCCCTGAACGAGGCTTGGGCAACTTACATGCACCGGATCGGACATGCCGTAAATGGAGCTTCTCCAAGCCTTCAAATTCTGAAATATGCTCGAACATGACCTTGAGCTAAAGATATCTTGATGAGAATGATGTGTCGTCATATCGATGAACCTTCTGCGACGGGAGGCACTGGAACCGATACACCGTATCGTTCGACAAAAGCAATCTGCAGGTGGGTATATCATGCACTGTCATCCATCATACGATTTATCCACATATAGGCAAGCTGCCATCTAGGTACCTGAACGAGATCATGCTGTGAAGCGCCGCCGTCGCCGCGGCAGGTGACGTTTGGACCGGCATGTGCCTCGTGGATCTTTTTTTTCTGAAAAACTGGATTGTCGAATCCGGATAAAACCAGAGTTTCCGTAACGTGCGTCGTACTTACATGGGTAGTCCGCATTCCTTGGCCAATCCAGTTGAAAATGGCGTTTTCGTTTGGAGGGAGCACCACTGGCGCGGCGTCCACCACGGCCCCTGCGTTTAACTTTGGCTCGGCCGCACCTGCCGCTGCCACACCATCGGGGTTTGGCTTTGGGACTGCAAGCAACGCCGCCCCTGCCGCCACCACCTCGGGATTTGGTGCGCCTGCAACCTCGACCGGAAGCACCCCGGCATGGAACTTAGGTGGCAGCAGCGCAACTCCAGCCGCCACGTCTACCCCAAGCTTTAGCTTTGGGGGTGCAACGACCACCCCTGCCGCGGCTCCTACCTCTTCGTTTGGGTTTGGATCAACCCAACCGGCCACTGGATTCGCCGCCCCCGCTTCCAACGCGTTTAGTTTCGGAGGAGGAACCAACACGACAGCAGCAGCGCCATCCACTGGATTTGGTGGCTTTGGCACTTCCAGCAATACTCAAACGAGTTTGTTCGGGAAGCCAGCGACCTCTGGAGGGTTTGGCAGCTTTGGCGCTCCCTCTGGTTTTGGGGTCGCCGCCGCCACCCCTGCTCAACCGCCGCAGCCCGTGGTATCGCTAGACATGCGTTTTGATGCGTTGCCACCGGACGTGCAAACCCAAATCAAAGACTTCGAGTACGTCGTCAATATATATATAAAACTCGTAAATATATATATATATATATACGAGTATTCTCACCCCCATGTAGCCACTTTTTGAAGGAACAATCCCGCGAAGAAGCATCCATCCGGTCTGTGTCGGCGCAACCGCTTGCCGACCTGCAAGACGCTACGAAACAACTCGAACAAGTAATATTGTCCATTTTGCCCAATATTTCACTTTGTGTGGTGAATCGCCAAATAGCTATCTATCGATCGATCTTTCGTATTGAATTTTGTGTGTAAAAACGTGTCCTGTGGCGATTGGTATCACACTAATTGAAGTCACACACTATTTAGATGTTGACGATGGTTTGATTGGCTAAATCCTTCTGCCGATTCTGCATTTCGTTGTGTCGATACATTCATTCTCCATGTCGCCCCAGTTAACATGTATTGTTCGTTTTACCCAATATTTGGACTTTTGTGCTGATTCTTTGCCAAATCTATCGATCGATTTTCTTTGTCCTGACTTTTGTAAAGATCGTCCAGTGTCACACTAATTTCAATCACACACTAATTCGATGTTGACTTAGTCGAAGTGTGGATCATTTGATTGGCTAGTTGATCATGTTTTGTGTTTTGATTGGTCGTATATCGATTCTCTGCTAATAAAAGTTACTCCCTACTTTGAAGTGCGATTTTGATTGGCCACTGGACAAGTGTTGTGGGTTTTGATTGGCTGCTCGTCGATTCCTAAAGTGTCAATCGAATTCGCTTGTTTAGGTGGCCCTCGTAGTGCGAAACATCCAAACCCGGCAAGCCAAAGACATTCAGTTGCTGAAATCCGACGTCAAAAATGTCGTGTCCCAGGCCGAAGCTGCCGATCAAATGTACGTCGGAATACATATATTAGTGTGTGCAAATGTACGTCGGAATACATATATTAGTGTGTGTACCTTTGAGCCAACATTTGGCGTTTTGCGCTGATTCTTCAAATCCGTCGAATGTCCAGTGTCACACTAATTAAAGTCACACAGTGTTGAAGAGAGAGAATTTGATTGGCCACTTGATGTGTTTCGGGGGTTTTGATTGGTTGATCGATTGTTTTACCTCTCCCATAAAACGTGTTTGACCGTTTGGATAAGACTAATATCGCTGGGGAAATGTGATTTTATCGTAGTTTTAAACGTTGCTCAGCAACACCATATATATAAATATATAATATGTCACGTTTCACAACTGTGGAATGATGTCCTTGTTCGACTAGTGTGTTTGAATTCCAAGTTTTCATGGGTTTAAAAACAAACGTGTTGTGGTTTGTATGTATATATATATATATGAGTTTGTATGTATATATATATATATGAGTTTTTCTTTTAGCCACATTCACTTGACGTCGGACACGGGCATCCAGCGCACGGACGAAATGCCGTCTGCGTACTACTGGACTCTGGTTCAGGACTTTGAGCAGCGCATGCAAACGCTCAAATGTCAGATGAATGACGTGCATACTCAGCTCCAAGGGCTCCAGCAGACGCGCCATCCCCACATGCAGCACCCGACGCCGCAACTGCTCCAGCAAATCCTGCAGTCGCAGAACGATGCGTTCATGAACATTGCCGCACACGTGGCCACAACCCACGAACAGGTACCTCTTCCTTTATCTCGAAAAGTACCGAATGTACTCCCCTTCTTCTTCGTACCGATTCAAAAAGTACCGAATTGTGGAGTCCTCTACTTCGTACCGATATTGAAATGTACCTAATTGTGGACTCTACGTACCTAACTCAAAGTACCGAATTGTGGATCGAATTGTGTACTTTCGTACCGATTGAAAAATACCGAAGTGTGTGTACTCTTCCTACCGATTGACAAACCTCTTGAAAAGTAATAACGAATTGTGGACTATTCGTACCGAAAGTACCGAATTATGTACTCAAAGTACCGAATTGTGTACTATTCGTACCGATGTTGAAAAGTACCGAATTGAGTGTATGTACGTACTACCTACACTACGCTTTGACCGGTTGAATGAAAAGTACCGAATGGTAGTTTGTGTACTGTACACCTACCTACTCGTCGTCATTGCTCTTTTAAACAAACAGTACAGAGTGTACTTTGTAGTACTCTTTGCCCTTGCTTGAACGTTAAAAGTACCTAATTCTACTTAATTCTACCCCCCTATCGATTAGGCCGAAGTCTTGCGCGACCAGTACCTCGCCACCCTACAACACAAACAACAACCAGACGGCGGGAAAGTGCGCAATCCATTTGAGGCGGCCGACCGCATTCAAGCTGAAGAAGAGCGCCGCATCGTCGATCGCATTCGACTGAGTGCTGCGCAAGTCACGTTCCCCGCCGCCACACCAGGAACCACTGCACCGGCTTCGTCATTTTCGTTCAATACACCAGCAGCCGCTCCCGCGACGGCAGCTCCCGCGCCGTCCACCTTTGGAACCACCGCGACTGGCGGCACCTCGTTTTCCTTTCCTGCGGTCTCGACGGCGGCCGCCCCCACGACCAGTGCCTTTGGCGGAGCCCAACCTCCTCCCACACTGACCAAGTCTGTCAGTTTTGCCGGACTCGGAAATGTGGCGCCATCAGCTGATTCGAACGCCAGTGGTGCGTTTGGCATGCCACCAGTCAACTCGCTCAATCCAAAGTCGGTGCGCCGAAAGCCTAGTTCGACCAAGAAACGATGAGGACTAGAGGTTGTGTGTGTCGAAGGGCGAGAGAATAGATAGATCCAACAAGTGCGCCTTCGTTTCCTGGGTTTTATTATCTATTGCCTTAGCTTGGTCGGGATATCGAGTTTTAGTGGTTTTTTATGGGCTGACAAATTCCCCCACAGGACGTAAACGTAGGTACGGTATACCACCATATTTCGTTCAATTACATACTTCGTCCTTTATAGGAATTCTGAGATACTAGTACCTTTCAACAGCCAATCAGGATGCGTGAATTGTGGATTTGTGAAAAAGTATAGCGGTGAGATTTTTAATCAAAACGTTACCACGAGCAACGCATTCAGCTAAGGTTAGGTTAGGGGTTGTAAGGCGTCTCAGTGTTTAGGGATACCTAACTGTTGTGATGCGCTTAACCCCGGGAATAATATTATAACTGCTGTGAGGGAATCATTCGTTTTGAGCTTGTTGCCAAAATTTGCGAATTTTGGGGAATTGTTGAAATCGTTAAGAATCGACCAAAGCAGTTTGGTTGGATAAAAAGAATGAATTTTGAAGTATGATTGGCTAAAACGAATGCATATTCACAAAGATACCCTTCAACTTAGATATCATATTTCGCAGGTCCGGACGGAGGAAATTATGAGGAGAAGGCACAATACTACTATTAATAGTATAAATGCACCATTTTCCAAACACTCAAGCCAAATATTAGAAAATATCACAATAAAATTGTACTTGTAATTGGGGGTTCCCAAATACTAGTACCTACTACAGTACTACTATCAATCGTACGCAGTACTATTAATAGTATTATTTTACCTATTCTCAACCAGTGGGTCGATAAATTACTTATATGTTCTGAGGATGAAATAAATAACTCTTTTTTCCCTGTGGCACAAATAAATAACCTATTTATTACGCATTTGAGAAAGGATAACTTATTCAAATAACTTAGATATCTCGAAGATCTTGAAGTTCGTGCTATTGCATCCGGACAGTCACGTAATGAACCGTGTTGTACGTCCGCTTTACAAAGCTGGTATTACATTATATTCAAGGCTTTCAGTCGCTTCTTGCGCATTTGGCCAAACCAAACAAACGGCGATCACTCAAAAATGACCATCACTCATGACGCTCGCTGATTGGCTAAAAGTTTGGGCACCACAATTTCGAGGTCGAAGTGAGCCACAATTGGAGGCCTGATGCAATGCGAGAGTGGCATTTGGGTGGAGCGATGTAGTTTCGTAAAAAAACTTGTTGATTGTCAGTCTAAGCTTTCTTTGTAATAAATTTTTAGTTTGAACCATTGATAATTATCCTGTTCATTTGGAATAGATTATATATTTGCTGTTGAAGCTAACTAACTGTAAGTTGTCTATTTTTTCTGATGTTTGGAAAACATAACGAATCTATTTTGGTGATGGTGCAAAATACTATTAATAGTACTACCGCTAGTAACGTTAACCTATTCTTCGTTCGAATAAACAATTTTGATTTTGAGTTCACGTTTTATTGACTGTGAGAACCCCTGCTTGTGATCGTCTGGATACCCCAAACTTAGTTCTACATAATCAGCAATAGTAGAACGATGGCAATACTCCTTGCGGTGACACCTCAGCATGTAAAGTGCCAGCGTCCGCATGTTCCTATCAGCATATATAATACCTACCACATATTGCTGGTGGTGGTGATAGCCACTAGTCATCACTGCCAGCAGATATCACAACAACAACGACGAAGCATACTATGCCTGTACACACACAGACCTCAACGTACCCTCCAACAAGCATGCAAATTTAATACCAAGTATAGGGACATAATATTCGCATATTTCATTTTTGCTCCCTGAAGCATTTAATTTTTGATTGTTCTCTATTTTGATACTTCGAAGTACATATTATATTGCCAATATTTAACCATACTGTATACTATTGGGAATACTATTAGTGACAACAATTATTTATTGTTCATAAGCGTTAAACCCAAATATGTTTTGAATTATCGGCTCGCCCTAAATATAATTTTGCGCGCTGCTCCAGAGTGCACCGACATGCACATGTCGGACGAGACCGCCATCACCTCGACCTTGCCGACAAGATGGACACGCGCCTACAAAGATGATTCGTACTATGGAATTATCGTAATTCTACACAAATCTCAGAAAAAATGGATCGATTTGTCGACAGTTTCTTATTCCATAAACCGAAATTGAATATTTTACAATTTCAAAATGGGAGTATTTTCGTGAGAAGGGCCCATTTTTATTACGGTGTACTACCGTAGAATCGTGGCATCCAGACCAGGCCAGGGCTGGTGGAAGTAAAACAGAAAACTACAACTACGGAGTACTACTACATACGTGTAGTACTCCAGGAAGTAGTACTAGTTGCAGTATTTTTGACGTTTTTGTGTGTTACTTGGTTACTTGTACCGGTAACGTTAACCCAACCTATCGAGTTGACTGTTGTACTAGTATTTTAATGTATCGAATAATAGTTCAGTTATTATTCCCTTAGAGCAATTGTTCCACTGTTGCTGCCGTAATCATTTTACTTGTTCTTCTTATCACATAGTCAAATTCAGTGTAAACCAAAACGACACATTCGAGCGAGGGGTTAGTGCATTTCAGTGGTTAGCGACAGTGAACCACTGAGGTGCAACTTAACCCCAGGAATAGCAACACAACGGGTCCGGGATTCAAATATTATTGCAGGGCTACGGGTTCTTTTGAAGGAAAATGATTGCGTAAGCAATAGTGAAACTATTGTTCTCAGGGAATACCTACATATTCGTCAATATTGCGTCCAGATCCCATCCAGAACAATGCTGCGGACAAACACAAACCTTAGTAGTTTCTTGTCGAACATGTTGCTGTTATGACACCGCAAGTCACTCCGCGACCGATCCCCGTCCTTACCCCCCTCTGGTCATTCATGATGGTATGACGGTGTACACTAACTACTACATACTTAGGACATTCAAGCCGCCTTCGGGAACCATACCTTTCAAGGCATTTCTCATACAAAACACATGCAAAAGTCGATGTGTTTTAAACTTGGAACATGTATTAATAGTAAACAACTCAACTCCCTTGTATACTAGGAACAAAGAAGCAGCCACGAAGAATCTTGTGACCTTGTTGTCATCCCGTCCCATCCATCTCGCGAGTCCGAAGCTTACATTCCGGGAGGGCATGACACATAGCATATCCTACACCTTGTGTCCTGTCGTGGCCGCCCAGTTGGCCCTGGATTCTCGATCAGTATACTCAACTCAAGTTAAATTGAGTGCAATTTTATTCGCGACCTGGGCGCTACACTTGGCGCTTGTATGCAAGATTTGCAATTAAAAAAAGAAATCCACAAACTATTTGTAATCTAGTGTATCCGGATCAGATGGGCCACCTCCGCCTTGCCTTCCTTGCGATTCACAACTGCAAACCCAACTTCGGTGGCCGACTCCGTCGAGTTCCTGACACAATCATCATGCACAATGCTGGAGGACCTCGAGCAAGCATGCTTAGCAACACGGATCTGTACCACATGAAGCGCGTGAGCGAATCGCGGGGCTCATTCAGCGACCGCAAGAGCCACGTGAGCACGAGCAGCAAGCGCGGCAGCACGACCAGCCACCGCCACACCCACAATCAACAGCAACCTGGAGACCTGCCTCCTCCACCCGATTCGCTTCCTCTGCGGAGCGGCACATCCAGCCAGTCTTCGACGTCGACGTCGTCCAAGGATTCGGGCAGCGACCTGTTCTCGTTCCTCCAGATGCCCATGGGAGGCCTCAAGCTCGACTACGCGCCGCCACCCAAGTCGTACTCGGGGGACAGCAGCATCGACTCAGCCAAGATGCAAGACATCGTCCGCCGCATCCACCGCGAAATGATCTCGGAGCTCGGCATGATCGAAGCAGCCGTGCCGTTCGACGGCGACGACGCCAAGTTTGCCGACCATCCGTGCCAGTGCAAGACAGCGACCGTGTTCCACACTAGCGAGTACGAACACGCGTCGCGACTGATTGTGATCGTGCCGTACCGCGAAGCCGGCATCTGGAGTCGCAGCATCTGCATGAACAGCGCGTCCGTGGACGAAGACGCCGGCAACATGCTCAATTACCTGCGCAAGGCCATCACCGAGGGCTACGGCGTGCTCATCATGAACCCCGCCGCGCAAGCCTGTCATTCCAAGGTCCACGTCGGTACGGTGTGGGACCACTTTGTCAAACCATTCGAGTCGGAGCTGTTTGTGATTGCGTACTCTCGGGGCTGCCAAAACGTCATGCAGCTGCTCAACCACGACAACGGCCGCGGCGGCATGCAGGACCGCCTTCGCGCCCTCTGTTTCATCGAGCCGAGCCATTATGTGAGCGACAAGGACACGTACTTTGCGCGGCGGATGCTGAGTCGGCGCGCCGTGGCGTGGCTCCTGTCGCTCGACATTGCACCCGGCCAAAAGATCGTCGCGAGTGAGAAGCGGCACGGATGCATTTGCATTTCCGCGGGCGCGATCCCGTCCACGGTCCACGGCAGCTCGGGCGGATGGGCCTTGCGCGCCGTGATGACGTCGGTATTTGGAGTGTTTGCCGCCCGTGTGGGGCAAGCCAGCGGCACGACCAAGCTCACATCCGTCGACAAGTCGAGTGGATGTGGCCTCTGCCACCGCAAGATGGGCCTGCTTACGAGAAAGACGCAGTGTGCATGGTGTGAAGTCAAGTACTGCGCCATGTGCTGCGAAGACAAGAACGTGCCGACGTTCAACCTGTGGGGAGTGTGCAAGCTGTGCCAGGTCCTGCCATGCCTGATCGACCCCCGCAAAAAGGGCGGCCTCCGCACTACGAAAGCGGCGTTCACCCAAGACATGGACTTGATCGATCGATGCTCCATTTTCATCCAGCCCCAAAATGACAAGGCCAATGACGACGACTTGTGCTTGTCCGACTTTGAAATCGTCAAGTTTATCGGCCGCGGCGCGTGCGGCCGCGTCAAGTTGGTCCGGAAAAAGCATGGCGCGGACGAAGGAAGCTTCTACGCGATGAAATCCATCAAGAAACGACTGGTGGTGGCGCGCGGACTCGTCGAAGCCACCAACGCCGAGCGCCGCATCCTCGATCGCATCAAGCATCCATTCATCGCTACGTTGTGCTATGCCTTCCAAAATGACGCCAAGCTGTACTTGCTCAGTAACTACTACCCCGGCGGCAACCTTCTCGACCAGATGCGACTCGTGCGCCACTTCACCGAAGACCGCGCCCGCCTCTATGCCGCCGAAGTGGCGCTGGCATTGGGCCATTTGCATGCGAATGATATCATTTATCGCGATTTGAAGCTGGAAAATGTCCTCTGTGACTCGGAAGGACACATTGCCCTGACTGATTTCGGCATGTCCAAAGAGAACGTGTCCGCGTCCGATCGCACGTCCACGTTTGTCGGCACATATCAAATGATGGCGCCTGATATTCTCACCAATAAACCGTACTCGGTACGTATATATATATATATTTGTGTGAACAAGCTCCACTTGATATGGTCAAAAAGCCACCAAATGGACGGGGACTTGAAAATATATTATTATTTCGAGTTTCACATGTGGTTGTATCTTGAATATTTGAATGTTAACAACTGCGAGTTTGTTCTGTGCCTGTTTGACTAGAATCTAATGGGGAAAACACACACATTTGGATCGTTTGTCGTCCACTTGGAATGTGTTTCACTTTCCGTATAGAAACCATCCATCTGTTGCTATAGACTCTGAATATATTTATTCTTTCTATGGCGACGATATATATATATATATACCTTGTGCTGATATTTGTTTGTGCTTCATCGTTAAGATTTTATAAAAAGATGAACATTCAATATGTTTTTCATCAAAACTAAATGTTTATATATTTCAATGTTTTGTTTATATATATATATACATATGACACAATCAATTTCGTGTTCTCTCTCAACTATATATATATATACTTTTACCCTATGGCGACGATATATATCTAAATGTATTGTAGCGCGCGATCGACTGGTGGGCGTTGGGGGTGATGGTATTTGAAATGATCGACGGGCGGACGCCATTCAATGCCAAAACCAACCAGCTCATCAAGGACAAGATCCTGACGTTTGAAGTGCCGTTTTCCGATCGATTTTCCAAGCACTCGAAAGCATTTGTCCAGGGATTGCTGCAAAAGAAGCCCGAGAATCGGCTCGGGTGCGGCCCCGACGGCGTCGAAGAGATCAAGCGGCACCCGTGGTTTGCCTCGACTGACTGGGCCGTCGTGGAGGCGCGCCGCGCGACATTCAGCGCCGATCAGGCCATCCTGATGCAGTCCTACGCCAAGGAATATGCGACGGTGGATGTGTTTGATACGTACATGCACGCAAATGAGATTGCATGCGATACACCCACGTCCATGCGCGGGTCCGCGGCGCCCAACGGCAACGACTTGTTTCAGGATTTCGACTACAACCACTTACTCACGCGGTTGAGTACGTCTTCTTCGTCAGAGGAAGGGGAAGATAATGCGAGTCGTCAAGGTTTGGCAAATGACGCCAAGTTTGACATTCACCAGCTCCGGCCAGCGCCAGGGACCCCCAAAGGACAAGACGAAGACCGAGAGATAGACGAAGAAGGTTCCACGAGACATTCGTCCAGCACCCTCGTCGCCACGTCGTCCGAAGATGACCTGCATAGCCCCGCGCACTTGACGGTGGTTAACAACGTGTCGGTAACCACGACGCCGCTGCATCCTGCCGACTGCAATGTGACCATGCTGTAGATGAGTTTGTACGTCGAATCGTCGGGGGTATAACTGTGTAAATAGTGTGTGATTTGAAATGCCCGTTGGTAGATCCATCTGTGGTAGAGATAGATGAAAAGGGGGAGAACGCTGCTGGGCGTGTGTCTTGGTCGACAAAGTAGTACACAGACCATAGCAATACTAGTACATACACATGCATAGACAGTATACACGTCCTGCCTTTGAATATGTAAAATCGAGTATACCGTTCGTAGTAGTACTGTAATAATAGTAGGAACGTTGGTACTAGTAGTAGTACTCTATAGAGTACTGGAGTGGGGAGGGGAGGGGGGTATTGCAACACGCCATCTACTCGATGCACCACGTGAATAATACCAGGGGTGAATAATACCAGGGAATACATAAACGTGATCCTCCATGATTGGTTAACAAGTGGGTTTGATCCACGTTTGCTCGCCTGAGTGGGGGTTCTCGTAGTACACGTGGTCGCCGTGGGCAATGGCGAACCATCCCGGCGGCAGCGACGGGTCAGCCACGTACTCCCCCGTACCTTTGTCCACATTGTGAACTTCGCCCCCTATACATATACATTCAGTAAGTATTACCAGTAATATATACATGTAAGAATGCTCCGAGATAGAGCATGATCCGATTCAAGAAAACAGGTTCAATGATCCATGCTATTTCAATGGACGTACCATGATATACATGGTCGATTCCCTCTGCCTCTTGGCCAGCAGTAGTAGTATCGTCGTCGATATTGATTGCATATGGAGAGTTGGACCCACATTGTTCATCCACATCGTCCGCCAAAAGTCGCCACGACGACGACGGCGTCGATGGGTCGGCGGTCATGTCCGCCAAAGGTCCCTCATCGTGAGGTGGATCGTCGTAAAAAATGCCGACGACAGCGTCAACCAAATCTCCTCGTCGATCGTCGTCCTGATTTTCAAGCAAGGCGGTGATTTCGCTGTTGGTCTCGTTGGTTGAAAGGGCTGCATGGGGATCGGACGGGGCGTCGTTGGAAGGTATGACTAGGGCTTGGGAAGCGTCCTTGGATCGAAAGTCAGTGTCCACACTTGGCCTGTGATGATCGTCCTCGAGGGATGGTTGGTTGTCGTTGTTGTGTATTTGTGTATTGGTGCTCCTCTTGTCGTCGGCATCCATGTGCATGTCGTGGGAGGTCGCCGAAGATGGCTTTGAACGGGTGACGCCCTCGTCGTCAGGCCAAGAGTGTGCTGTCGTGTTGGTGGTGGTCGCCGTTATGTGGCCATGTTCGTCGCCCTGTGTATATGCGGACGATTCGTCAATTGTCGCATGACTCGACGCCATCCAACCCGACAGATTTGTGTGTGCTGTTGATAGGGATGTTGACGCCGTCCACTCCACCGACAACTCCTCCCCTTGTGTAGCCTCTAGTGGCGTTGGAGCTTCTTCCACGGAATCAGCCGACGTCGTGTCCATCAGCATTCGATTCGACGCGGAATCTGCTTCGTTCCCACGAGGGGATGACACCAACGCTGGAGCTGCTAGAGGTACCGAGGAATCCGATGACCGTTCTGTGGAGGTCTCCGTTGTGGGAGGACGCGATGCAGAAGACGGCTCGACGGTGGTTGATATCTCGTGTGTGTTGGAAGCGGTGGCGACGGTTGCGGGTTCCCGAGATGATGGATCTGGAGTTGTTGGAATATGTGACACCGTGACTGGCAGCTGGGCCTTGAGCGTAGTCGATGCCGGCAATGACGACGACGACGACGTGGGTAGGGTCGTGGTGGTGTCGTCTGGTGGAGATTTGGTCGCCCCCCACGCCATAAACTGCTTCAATTGATGATCTTGGGTTATCGTATCGCTGGAACGTCGTCGCAGGTTCTTTGACGATGGGTTATCGGCCAAGCTTTCATTGAGAACTCCCATGCGAGCCAGTTTGATCTAGCGATTATTCATATACCATGAAGAATGGGTTGGCAATTTCATCTCTTTCATAGACATTTATGACATATATACCTCATCCGGGCACTTGATCAACATCTCGTGGGCCATCAAGTCGTGCAAAATGCCCGCAATCTACCCAGATCCCGTTCAATATATATATAAGAGTAAAAGTATTCAATTTTGAACATATTGGAGTATCAATGAAAGTGTGCAAACAAGTATGAACAGCAACGCGCCATCGTACCGACTGGGCAAACAGCGCAATCAAGTGCAATTTAAGCGCATCGTTGGCCGCTTGCTTTTCCAGCATTTCGACCTTGGGGCCGCCCTTGGCCAACGGCACGACGGTGCGTCCGACTTGCAGCACGCCCAGGGGCTTCCCCCATAATGACAGAATGGGCACGATGTACAACCCATGCCCAGCATTGGTCAAGTCGATCGCGCCATTGTATTTGGCATGCGTGAGCGGGTCTGGGATCGTCAGTCCCTTGGGATGATAAATTGCCTACAAAAATTACCCATTTATATATATATATATGGGCAGGTGTGGGAGTACGTACGAGACCACACAGTCCCGACGACAGTTTGTAATATTGCCGAAAGAACGTCGTATCGCAACTCGAATCCAACGTCTTGCCCACACACCACATGAGGCCGCCGGCAGTAGTAGGATTACTACTACTAGTAGTACTACTAGTACTCGTCGTGACGTCGATGTCGTCGTTGGGGGGGTCGATAAGGAACATTTTGAATTTCGTGACGCCGAGGATTTGGTGGAATTGGCGCTCCGTGGCCAACGCAAACCGGATGAGGCTGACGTTATCGACATGGGGCACGGATTCGAGCGCCAACTGCCTCGGCATGTCGTGCAGACGAAGCAGTTTGGTGTGTGATGTTTCGAGCACCGTCTCCAACTACATATATATATATATATTTAGTGTCCCCTTGAATAACGTGATATATCGTTGTTGTGTTTGTATACCTGAAATTGCTGCAGCACGATCCCTGCTTGAATCCCAAACATCCCCAGTATAATCAAATCATTGGGTGAAAACCCCTTCCCGTGTACGGAATTGCACGCCTACAACCATACATACAGTATATATATATATATATCCAAATCACTATCAAGCCACGACAACAAACAACTAAAATAATTCTGCCACAAATGATTTTTTGTAGGGTATATAATGCAAAAATCGAATATATATATATATCAAGGATATGTTTCATCCACAGACAAGAGAAGTACGAACGTACGCGTAACACGGCAATGGCGTCGTTTTTGTCGTCAAATATCGGCACGCACATGACATCCTTGGTCGTGATGCCTGTCGAGTTGTCCTGGGGGCTGTAGAACCTCGGGTCGTCGTACGCGTCGGCGATATTGCACGGGGTGCCCGACTTCAAGACGTGGCTCACGATACCCTTGTCGCACGGCACTTCGACATTGTTGGCTTCGCCGGCCTATATACACCCATACACAACAATAAGCGGCGATCAACTGACACTTGAATGATCTGGGTATATATATATATATATATATATATATGTACTCTGTATACACTGTATACATACGTTGGTGCATCGGCAGATGAGTTTTCTGGGGTTCGACAGCTGGACAAATACTGCGGCGTGGTCGCACTGGAGCACCGCACATACTTTTTTCATCAACCTACGACAACATATCCACCAAACACATTAAATATAATGAAATGATTTGGCCACATCGTTGACCAATCATCATCCTTTGATCCAGGACGTATACATCGACTCGAGATGCCAACTCTCGCCTGCGTCGACATGTTTGGCCAGATGTCGTCGAATTACTACTGGATATGTACGGTACGTACTCTCCGAGCACAACCCGAATGTCCACGGACGTGTTGATGCTGTGGCAGCTGTGGAGCCACCGCTTCATCGTCGACGACAAGTTGATGGCGTTGGAAATGCTAAATTGGGAGTCGACTTTGTGCAGAATGCGCAGGATGTTGGGGTCGATGTATTGCTCCAAGATGGAGCTCATGGCGGCATGGGGGTCTGCTTCGTTGACGACGACGACGGCGGCGGCATTTGGCGAAGGGGTCGACTCCGACGACGACGAAGATGGGAGGGACGTGTTGCAGTTGGTCGCCACAACGTTGCTGGTCCTATCGACACCGCCGTCGATTGCTGGCTTGGCTTGTGTCATTTGCATGTGTTCAATCGATTCAAGCTCCATCTTGATCGCTTTGAGCTTCTTTTCCGAGTTGACCAGACTTCGCTTGTCTTGCATGTGTTGCGCCTCCAACACCTAGCAAACATATACTAGTAGTAGAACCAAGTCTACTAGTAGTAAAACCAAGTCTACTAGTAATAGAACCACCAAGTCTAACTGTTCATTGGTCAACCGGCCCTTGAAACCAACGACTATGGACGAAAGTATCACTTTATAGCATGTAGTAAAGTTGTATATGGACCGTATATCGCGTTGTGGCGTGGGGTTTCTCGTTGGAATTTATATCGAATTGATTGGCTACCTCAGATGAGCTCAAAATTATTAGCCAATCAAAACCTTCTAAATGAAATTCAACCAATCAGATCGATTGTGGATCGGTTTGGCCCCTCCCCAAATTTGTACTATCAAATCGACAATATTTGTTTAATCATTGTAAACTGGAGGGACATGGCGAATGAATGTATCGACACAACCAAATGGAGAAGAATTGAGCACCCAATAAGATTGCAGGAAACCACCATCAACATCCAATTAGTGTGTGTGACTTCAATTAGTGTGATGATACAAGTCCCCACAAACGGCCACGTTTTTACATACAAAATTCAGTATTGATCGATAGATATTTGGCGATTCTCCACAAAAGTCGACCAAATTTTGGGTAAATGGGTAAAAAGGACAATATCTCGTAAACCAACGACGTACGTCCCTCTCACTAGTGTACACACACATGCAGCCAAAATGCAAAAAGCACACATCTATTTGCATACCTTGATGCGGCGCTGGTAATCTTGGTTCTCCTTGGACATGGTATGCAGGACGGTCTTGACGGCGCTGCCTGCTGCGTGATTGTGGTTGGTGCCATCAGAGGTGGTCGTGAGGTTCGTTGAAGTCGTCATCTTGTGTAGGGTTTCGTTGATCACGACAAAGCGAGCCGAGAGCTTGGCAAACGCTTTCTTTTGCTGCAGCGACATCTTTCGCTCGTCGTCCAGCTGCTGGTTCAGCTGCCCCACCAACGCCTTTAGCGAGTGCGTTTCGGCGGCGAGCACGTCGTTCGACGCGCGTTCCTTTTGGAGCTGTTTGGTCAGATCGAGTATGGCGCGTTCCATCTCCATTTGCTTGGTGCGTTGCAACGCCACGACATGCTCGTAGTCTGCTTTGATTTTCTCCATGGGCATGGGAAGATACAGGGTGGATGACGCAGGAATTGTCGTGCCTGGCTGTCCTGGGAGAAAAGGCGACGGGGATGACCCGGTCCTGGATAATGGTGTGAGGTGCGCTCCCTTGGATGATGACGACGACGGCAATGGCTTGACCATGTTGCGCTTCTTGGTGGAGCTAAATGCAAGTGAATTTGGCGCACTTTGCAGGGGTAGTTGCGGCGTCGATCCACACCGATTCATGGTGGTCATCACGTATTGATCCGGCGTCTTGTTGTTGTTGGAGGGTAGCATCCTTCCTATTCCAGATGCACTAGACGACGATGACGAGGGAAATATGATCGTGTTGCCGCCTTCGGACCCCCCACTGCATGATGGTACATCCACGTGTTCATCGTTGTCTTGATCCGCAGACGATGGTGGTGGCACATGGTTTGTCTTCTTCTTCTTGGTCGTTCCTGATCGAACGATGAAGAATGCATCTGAGGATGGCTCCATCGCGGCGGCGGCGCGGGCGTGAAATCTATTTTTGAAAGTACCGACCAAAAGTGGAAAATGAAGGCGTTTCATTGGTCCGTTGCCAAGTGTTGGAACGGCCATTGTACGTGTATTGTATCCTGTACTTTATTCTGATTTCATTTTAATTTCATACATTTATCCAGTCAAGTGCAAAGCGTGGTTTTTAATAGGGCCGTTCGACCGAGATTTGGCCTCCATTACACTGCTGCTTGAACCGACCATCTCGAGAGGTATCTGGCTGAGGGGAAGGTAACACACCATCACCACCAAGGCCTGACAACAGCGACGGCAAGAAGTAGCGGCAACATACTCAGCGGCAACGACAGCATCACCACCACACATCGTCGTCGTCATTCATAGGACCACCATACCGTTCGGACGATGGGCCATGTATGGAGCAAACAACAGCAACCAGACGACTACTACCTCGGCCACAACGGCGGCGCGACGTACGGACTGGGCAACCTCACAGGCATCCTCAGCCACGACCGAAGAACAGACGTCGTGTACTCGGACGTCGCTTCCTCGTCCGACACTTCACACACGGTGGCAATCGGGTCCCGGACCAACCTGCCCATCATCCTCCTCGACAGCGACACGACGACCAAGAAGAAAGCCAAACACGTCGATGTCCTGCGGCGACTCGGCCTTGTCGTTCGCACGAGCGGGAGTTGCTTGACCAAGTCCGCGTCGGTGGTCGTCACGGATGTCCTGCGCATCGTGGATGGTACCAAAGTCGTCGCGCGCAACAAGACGTGGGGTCCTGACCCTCGGACTTGGCATGGCGTCAAAGGTCCAGCGGAGGCGAGCGGCGGAATCCGCATCGGTGACTCCATTTACGCGATCAACGGCGCGCGGCTCGTGAACAAGTCCAAGCGGCAAGTGGTCAAGATGCTGGGCGAGTGTTGCAGTCGGCAGCGGAGTGTCGTGGTGACATTTCGGCATGGAGACGCCATGGCGGCGGTGCCGTGGGAAGCAGAGCTGTGTGCAGACGTGCCGGAAGGCGAGTACATCGAGACCGACCACGAGTGGGGGTGTCTGATGAAAGTCGGGTCGGTCTCGATATAGACGATTAGGTGTGTGTGTCCAAGAACAATGTAATAACAAAATACAGTGGGAATAACAATTTGCTAGCTATATATATATATAATATCGCCCCACGATCATGCGTTCAACCGGGGTTGATTCGCATTCACTCAACCTACTTATATTTGTAGGTCGATTGAGATCTCTCCTGCATGCCCTTCTGACCTGGCTGACGAGCGCAGAACTACGTACTGTAACGCGATGTGGTCGTTGCATGGTGTTTAGACGTGTCTACAGTTGCTACTAGTATTACTGTAACGACCACAGTATAGTCTTATTCCCTTTTAAAGATATGTACCAGTATGATATACTACTCGGAGCACTACGTACTACTGGGATACGAATACTCTCGTAGTAGTAAGTAGTACATTGCCAGCGAGCAAATCATAGCCAGCGAGCAAATCGGTGGCAACCTCGTCCACTGAGCTGAGCTCGTTTACAACCTGTACCAGTACATAGTACTAGGACTGTAATGTTAGTAATTATTTGCCATCCACTACTACCAGTAGGTAGTACTGTACTCTGATCAATAATTCCCCCACAGCAGGAAGGATACCCTACCTTCAAAACACCCAAACTATACCTTTACAGTGGTCGAAGGCATCGAGGGTATATTTATGCATATCTCAAGGTCCAGATGGCCTTTTTCAGTGAAACTTCGTCGGTGATCATAACTAAACGCCATATAAAAATGTTCTTTGGATGTCAGGTGTATAAATGAATATCTTGTGACATATGTCGCACAACACCATTAGCACCGTAACTTAAAGGTATAGTTTGGGTGTTTTGAAGGTAACGTTAGGGTACACTGTACGTTATACTTCCTGCTGTGGGGGATTTAGGGTTAACTGCATCGGTACAGTACCTGTAACGTTAGTGGTTAATTGAGTTTGGATTATCATTTTTAAGACATTCCTCCGCGAGGGCCGCATTAGTGGTTAGCTATCGCTAACCACTCAGATGGATTGTTAACCCCTAGGTGGTGCGAGCATACAAAGTTCCATATAAACACTAGTATATTGCAGTGTTTTCTGAAAAAACAACAGTGGAACTGTTTTAATGAGGGAATTGTACAGTACAGGTCAGTTAGTACTGTAGTCCTTAGAGTAACGTGACTTGGTTGCTTGGTCGGTACTGGGAGAAGGTTATATAATCAGGGCACTCTAACGCGCGAAATTAGGTCCCTTGTGAAGTTCACTTTTTGTATTCCGTAATACGAGCTATATTCATTCTGTTTATAGGCTAATTTGCATATATAATGTCCGTTCCTTAATTATGTCCAAAAATCAATCTCGCTCATTGGTACCTCGAAGTAGCCATCAGCCATATCTACGTTTCCAGAATTATAATTAACTACAGTAATCATATTCAAACAGCAGCTCCCAACTCCCATTGTTTGCTGAGATAACCCCAAAAATGTGAGCATTCCCTGAATTATGGCCATGAGTGTACAGTACATTCTGCTCCTATCCTATTGTACCAGGCACTTTGGCCGAGGTACAGTAACTTACCCTTGCTCAAAGCACGTCTCTACACCGTTGCCTTGCCCGTAATTAGTACGGATTCAGAATTAGTGCAGTGCGGTCCTCACTACTACAGTTGTCCTCCAAGGTTTGCTCCCTGGTCAAAACGAAATTATTGAAGTTCTAGTACTACGGTAGAGTGCACGATTGACAGTTTACATCAATGCCGATTTGTGTTGTGACATTTCATGACAAATCCCACATACAAAAATCAATATAATACTCCTTAGGGTGCGTCTGGTAACATTTCAAAAATATTTTTCCATTTTCTCGGAAAATGGGATTAACCCAAAATGCCATTTTCAACATGGAGGTAAAAGGTCCATTTTGTAATATGGCGTTTTGGACCTCTTCAACGAGTAAATCCCACGTGGAATTATTGGATTGGGGTTAAACCTCTTCCAGCAAGACATGTTTCAATTTTCATCAGATTTGTTGAATTCGGCCCAAAATTGCGTTTGAATATTGCAATATTTCCGGTTACCAGACGCACCCTTACCAATTCTCAATATTCAAAATTGGTGCGGTCCACACTAATTCTCCAAGCCCATAATTAGTGCGGATTGAGATATACACACACCTATACACTGTACAGTACAGTGTACCGTATACTAGGTCGTAAGTACTACAATACTCCGGAGTAACTACTTGGAGTAATACAACTATAAATATTATTATTAATAATAATACTAGTATAATTAATAATAATACTATTAATAGTACCAGTATAATTAATAATAATACGAAGTACTAGTAGTACTCGTTATTGTAACGGTAGTACAAGTTAATATGACCGTATCTAGCGCGACTAGGAAGCCATTCAAATCGGCACTCGATATCGTCCGCTTGTTGCTTGAAGTGGACTTACATTTCGGGATACTGGTATGTAGTGGTAGTATTAATAATAATACTATTAACACCACTATTGGGATTTGATATTATTTTGTTGATATTTTTGTTTACGCGTCGATGTGCAACGACTGCTTGAGCATGTCAAACGTGCCAAACGTGATGCCGACCATGGGGATGACCTTGAGCAGCTCGGGCGTGAGTCCTCTGTAGAACCCCCGGACGCCTTGCTGCTGGTACAGCTCCTTTGCGATGCCCCACGCGGTGGCGGTGGCCTGCGCCGCCTCGGCGGCCGTCTCCTTCCCGCTGCCATGGTGGAGCCCCGAGATTTGCATGCGCCGCCGGACGACATCCACGGGGAACGTGACGATCGAGGATGAAATGCCCGACAAGGCGCCGCAGGACAGCGTGTCGAGCGCCGAAAGCGGCGTCGTCGCATCTTCCCGAAGCGCTTGGACGGCGTCCTTCAACGACTCGAACACGGTGAAGTTGATGGCCATGTTGGGCACGGTCACGAGGAGTGTGGCCGAGAGTCCGCGGTACAGACCCCGCGTGCCTTCTTCGGCGCGGATGCGGTGGAATGCATGCGAGATCCCGCGATACCTACGTGCATGTAAGGTCATGCACTAGAAGAAGATGCATGGAGATGTTGGTACCGGATGTTGTTGTCGAGCTGTGTGATCAGTCGGGTGCGAATGAGGTCGATGGGGTAGCACACGGTCGTGGACGTAGCCGCCGCCACCGCGCCCGACACGAAGCGCGTCAGCATGGGTGACGTGATGCCACTTTGTCGGGTGTCGAAGGCGTCCTTCATCCATTCGTACGTGAAAAAGTTGACGGCCGAGTATGGAAAACGATGGACGACACTCGCGCCGTTGCCTTTCCACAGCGCAAACACACCTTCCCGCCGCACCACCTGTCATGATCATCATCATCAGCAGGTTGCGAGCTATGGACAACGGTGGCATGTTATGTGTTGTCTGTCACCTTCATGAACGCTTGGGAGAGCGAGCCGGAAAACTTGTCCTTGTGTGTGGGTGTGACCATGCTGTGCACTTGATACAAAATGGTCAGGCGACTCAACGGCGCCGTGAACGTCTTGCCAATGCTCCCAGCCACGCCGCCTGCAAACAGCACCGACGCCTGCTTGGTCACATGGTACTGCAGCGACGTTATGTCCACATCCGTGGTCTCCGTGCACACATCACCGACGTCGCCAAAGGACACTGCGCCTGTGGTGCTGCGACGGAGGGTCACAGGTCGCTTCTCGCCGCTAAAGGCGGCTGCGGCGGCACCATCCCGCGCTGTCTCGGGATCCAGTGGCATTGAATATCACTTGGCAGACAGGCAGGCCAAGGTGTGGTAATCTGCCTTGCCTGCCACAATGCATACTCTAAACGTGTATTTATTATGACAGGTTTTATCGCTTCTACGGAGTACTACGAAGTACATGTAACTTTCGTAGTTTAGGGTATCATAACGGGTTACTACGTACTAGTAGTATTAGTATTAACGTTAATAGTTACTCCGAGTTAAGTTACTGTACTCCTACAACGCATCAACTGACTATCGATAGGTGTAAGCTTAACGCAGCATTCAGGTCTAAGTAACCCCCTCCCTTGACGCCATGCACTTCGAGATTGCAGTGCAGTGGCTGAACCAAGCACATTCCAAGGCAAGGAATGCACCTAGGTAATAATATATATATACTGTATATATATACCTCGGTATATATATATTTATATAACAACGTGTGCTCAAACAACATAGATACTATACTATCTACACCAGCAACAAACGAATTACAATCGAGAGGGGTGGTGTTGTTAGAGGCAGTTAGTTTATCCGACACGACAGCGCGACCCAAACCTCGACGTGTTTACTCTTTCCGAGAAGAATAAGAGGCGAGTGTACTTAATCCACGTTGGCCATGGCGACATCGGCTTCGGTGAACTTGCCCTTGTTCTTGTCACCGACGGCGCGGTTCTTGCGCTCCAAGATCTTCTTGCGGTCCTTGTCAAGCTTGAGCTTGGTGATCACGACCTTGGACGGGTGGATGCCAGTGTTGACCGCCGATCCGTTGGCCTTCTCCTTGACCACGCGTTCCACATGAATGACAAACTTCTTGCGGTACACTTGGGTCACACGGCCTTCCTTGCCCTTGTTCGAGCCACGGACAATGAGCACTTCATCATCCTTGCGGATCGGGATGGAGCGCACCTACATACCCACACTTCCCGTGAGTCCTGAACGTTCGAAAGACGATCGACGATGGATTGGGATTCATCCCACGACGAAGACGACGATGGGATGTAGGTAGTGGGAAATATCCCAACACTTACAGTTGGTTCAAGCCGCTGCCATGAAGTGCCAGAGACGTTGCCGTCTCCGACATGGACTTATGCGCTGAAAAGTGTATGGAGAGAGAGAGAGGGTGTTCCTTCTCATTCGACACTTTCACTTACGTTGTACTTTTGTTGCAAGTCCTTGGACAAGGACGCGCTCATCAACACGCGGCGTTGGGTGGAGTGGGCACCGAAGTGGGCCTTGCGGGACTTTCGGCGGGAAGAAGACACGGTCGAGTTGAACTTCACTACAAGGGAGGAGATCAGTGGCATGAACATGGGTGCATGACGGGGAGACCCCAGAAGAGGAGCCGCCATGGTCATGCTGCATCGACGGACGTACTTTTGTTGGAAAGAGTAAAATGATCTTGTGATGGAGTTTTCACGGCCAGTGGCTTGCGCACATTCGACTTTGCACCAACCAAACTCGGCCCTACCCCGCGACAGCCAGCCAATCACAGTCGATTATGTTGGCATTATCCGGTATTTTGCAAAACTATCCGGATATCCTTGCAAAATGTACTAACTGGATATGCTGTTCACCTTGGCCAAGCTCATGCAATATTGCTCGTTGGTTGATGTATATATGCATTAAGAGCATTAAGAGCATTAAGAGCACCACGAAGCTGTGACGGGTCCTTCCTGACTGAACAGGCTGTGCAGTATACCGGGTAACTGCGGACTTGGACCTAACGTTACCCGTGTATATAGTATATATATATTCCTGGCACTGGGAGGACATTCAACATTAGCCTAACGTTAGCGTTTGGAACTCAACGTACCGACGGTCACAAGAGGTGGAGAGCCACCCTCGGTAACGTGTACTGTACGCTTCTTAACTCACAAACCAAGGGACATACTATTACTGTTTTCAATGGACGGTAAAGCCTTGTAGTGTACGTACATTTATGGCGACGAACGCATTGCAAAACTCACAGCAAGAAAACATCGCACAGGTTCCACCTGATCCTCGACAACCACGAAAAGTTCCAGAAGGATTCTGTGTATTTGGATGGTGTTGACCGACGGTAGGAATGTGCGAGCAGAAGTCTGCGATGACGGGCAGGCCTCGCGAAGCAAGAACGCTTGGGGACAGCATTATTGCAACAGGTATAGCAAACCTACATTGGGACATTCAAAACTACAGTATTATTAATAGTAATAGTATGTCAGTGCTATGAAGAGATTGGTTTGCCGCCACTCTCATGACACTCGCGCTACAATCGTTGGTTGATGTCGTTGCTCCTACTACGTAGTATGTCGGCGATTGAACAACTTCATACCAGCTCACCTTCATTGTTGGCAATACATGAACGATTTAAGCTAGCTCGAGTTGATTTATGTATGGAAAAACCAACGCCAAACAAAGGGGTTTGACTGGTCCAAACGTGTACCTGAAGCACTGAATATTAACATTATAATGAGATTGCTAGAAATGGCGGCGCATTGTACTCACAGCACAATGAGAATCCTACTCCAGTGTCGTCCAAGTTCATCGATGTATATATCTACCAGCCCAGTCCACAGTCTTCTAGTCCCTGGCAATGTTCTTATATATATCATCGGTCTCAAGCGTCATGCTTCAACATATATAGTTCACGGCAGAGAGGCTGCCTTTGATTGGTCGAATATGAAACGGTTTTCGATTACTAGCCAATGAAATCGATCTTACTCTCTTGATTACTTTTAACACATGCAATATAGGGAAGGGAATGTGGCAGCAGCAAGCACGTGGGTAAGCAGCTCGTAGATGACCATAACGCTACTACTACTAGTAATACTAGCCAGCCACGGTCCATTCAGTGCGGCCACGTTTGCCACGTCCCCACCACGGCTTCTGCAAACGCCAAAAGCTGGGTCACGACCTCTACACAAAGGAACTCGTCGTTGAAATCGTCGAATGTTTGATGTGTACCAGGCAGGATTCCTTTCTCGGTGGACCAGTGGATGCACAGTGGGAGGTACATCATGTTGCGGAACTGGTTGATCCGAATGTTCTGTCGTCTAGGCCCACGTCAGTCAACCTATCCATTAGCATATACGCATGCATTTACTTGTGCTTGAGGGAGGCGAGTTTTGCAGTTCGCTACAGTCCAGTGAGTTCATATGACCAGCCGAGGTACGTACGTACGTACCTCGCGTTCGCTGGTTAACGACATCTTGGCCACGAGTTGTCGTTCCTGCTCGGCCAAGAGGTTCAACCTGGGGTTGTAGCAGTGTCATAATGTGCAAGGACACATGTACTATCATGATGCTGCTTGAATGTCAAACATGCATACCGCGTTTGGTTGGCGTAAAGGTCCAGCGCCACGTACACTCCCCACGCCATGCACGATTGGCGCGAACACTTGGACGCGTCCAGAGACGGAAACCATTTCGGAGCGCTACGTACGTCGGGGGAATGCATGAGGACGAAGTCGTGCCTGTCACGAGGTCACTTACACAAACCCGACAAAGGACGCATGTTCCAGGGGGTAGTACAGAAGCATCGAGTACACCTGCAACGTCACGACGCGCTTGAGGTGGTCGTTGTCGTCGGTGCCGACCCAAGACCCATTCTTGAGGGCTTCCAGGCACTCGAAGACGCCCGTGAAGCGCGTGACGTACCGGGCATACGCGATCTGACCGGCCACGGCGCTTAGGCCTTGCGAGTGTCGTGTCGATTTCTTCGCGTACAGCTCGATCACCCGCGCGAGGAACGCGAAGCCATACCCGATGGACTTGGACACCTTGTCCGCCTTGATTGTCGAGCTCGTGTAGCCCACGATCTTGACCAGTGTATCATCGGGCCTTCCGCTCATGTTCTGCCGTCAAATCTCAGTGTGACCTTCCCGTTGACGTCAACAATTATTTTATTGTATACTAAACTCTCGATACTTTGTCTTTTTATTTTAATTGTTTGGATTTTGAGTTATTTTTAGGCGTCGAGTGTCGTGATAACGATTTTTGCCTGCTTGAAGTATGAAATACATAAGACCTGCCAATATATACCTATTAATCTATCAAGGAAGGGCCGGAGCGCTAGCAGTATCATGCGATTTGGCTCTTGCGCTTGTCCCACAATGCCTTGATCATCGGCGAAATGGACCGCGGGTTGAGGAACCAACGCTCCTTGTCGGGTGATGCTTTGAGGAACGACCGCAGCAGCGCGCGCTCGTCGATGTGTTCAATGCGTTCGTACGAGTCAAAGAACGTCACGTTGTCCTTCCAGTTCATGCGCCGCCACAGGTGCATGGAGTTGGCCCATTCCTTCATGAGGTCGTGTGTGGGGGCACTGAATTCGAGCACGCGGGTCTCGCCGAGCTTGATGCGACGGCCTTCGATGCGCGTGACTTCGGTCGACGAGACTATGAAGCGATGGGGAAGCAAGGTTGGCACTTCGCACTCGGCCTTGACCTTGGTGATACGCCCCGGTAGCGACAAGCACCCGAGCATCACCCCACCCTTTTCCGAGAAAAACTTGAGGTCGCCATCCGTGAACACACAGAACACCATCACGGGCTTGAGATTTCCACTTCGAGGATTGTGCTCGATGAGGATGAGGTAGCCGTCACGGTACATGAGGGAGACGAAGGATATGGCGGCGACACGAGGAAGAAAATGGCGGCGGCGCTGTCGATGGTTGTATCTCGTCTGACAGCGAGTATTGTCACTGAGGGAATATCAAGATGGAGGTTGACTCGGTAGGGTCGAAATGATTAAAATACTAGCAAATTTAATACACGATCAACCAAATTCAATACAAAAACAAAGCTAACCTGGTCGCCTGTGTTAAATTAATTGGAACAAAAATTCCCATTGCTGGGACGCCATACTGGTGGATTCACCCAATCAAATCGTGCGCTGTGAAAGAGGAGAACCTGTCATATTTAATATCACTCTAAATTCAGTTGTACTATTTCAAACGATTCCAATCAACGCATGATGATGATGCATCAGGAAATGCTTGGGAGAGCCACCAAGGGAGGCTTGCGTGATGTACACCGTCGTCACACGATGACTAACTAGGAGTTGTGGCGCCGACAGACCATTCAACATGAGATCATAGACCTTTCGAAATGGCTGGACATCTGCCTTGCACCCTCCCCCTCCTGCCTCCATGATCCACTTCCAACCTACACCTACCGGTACTGGTGTACAGTACTCTACGAGTCGAGCTGCCATCCTAGAGCTGCCATCCTAGCTCTCGTCCGAAGGGGACCTGCATGACGCACCAACCGCTGTCGGATATTCGGCAACGCGCTTTGGTTGGTCGTCATGGGTGATCAACGGAATTGTGCTGGAAGTGCCCTGAGCTGTGACGTCATGGACAAGAGGTGTGATTGTGGTGAGAATCTTGCATGTATTGGCATCATCATGTTATAACACCCACGCATGCTTTGACTCATCTACATCGGGTTTTGCGGCGTTACCATCGTCGATCAAGAGCAACAGTAGTGCTATTTCGACACGTGTCCAGGAACTACTTAATGGTGGTGGGCATCGTGGTGGTCACCCTTCTTGGCGGCTTGGGCAGCATGCTTGTTGCCTACACCATTGGATGAGGACACATAGTTCGATGATAATGGAGAATGGACGATAAAGGACGTACGGTGGCGACCCAAGTAGGCCGTGGTGATCCCAGTCGCGCCGACAATGAGGAGGATGTGAACAAGGGGGGCCACCGAGTTGGTGTGCACGTGGCGGGTGCCGTAGTTGTACGCAAAGCGCTGGATGAACTGGGCGGGGCCGGTGGGAGGACCAGCGGCGTTGCGCACGGCAATGGACTTCTTCGCGTTTTGGATCCAGTTCTTGGTCTGCACGCGGGCAGCTTGGTATTCAGCTTGGAGTTCCTTGGCGGTGGCAGAGCTCATCTTGTCAGGGTGCTTTTCGTCAAGAAAGGTGAGGTCAACTGACGGTGACGAAGGGGCTGGAGTATTTTCACTGGGTATTTGTATGGCTTACTGAATACAAGGTATAAAATTCGCCAATCGCACTTCACGACAAAGGTATACGCTCCAATGGGGTTGCGTGTATTTGGCCGCCCACGACGGACCAGTCAGAGCAATCTTATCCGGAATTGTATCCGCATAAGGCTCAATTCGGATCCAAGTCGAAAGGTCACGGCAAATCACCAGGAAAATGATGGCACCGTGGAGGGCAGCAATGAAGCGATGCATGTCTTCGTGTAGAATATGAGTTTAAAGCAATACATGTACGAAACATACAGCCTTCTTGGCATGCCGCAGAGGCAGGGATATTGTTGATCCGTACTTTGTCAGGCAAGATGCCAGACGACGCTGCACACAACTAACTACCCTCCATGCGCAGCACTACAACGACAGCACAGGGATCGACATCGGTGTTCGTACCGCAAAACTACAGTGTTCATGCATCCACATCGTACACATCAATACAATCGTCAGTCCATTCATTTGTGATTCCGTCATTCTAGCGCTATTATATACAACGTGAATGGATGATATGCAACATGCACGCACATGGGACTGGTCTTCGTATTATATTCAACGATGGCCGTGGGCGCCGGCATTGCCAACGACGTGATTGGGCTCTATCTTGGGCGCCTAACGCTAGGAGACATGAGGCTATTCTTAGCCGCCGTATATAAACGGAAACCGAGTCCCGGCCGTTGGTTGGTATCTCCATTTCTTTCTCTAGCCTCGAGCGTGGAACTGCCTCCCGGTCCACTTCGTCACGGCGCGCCATCGTCTGTTCTCTAGAACACTGCCAACACAAACTCGCCAGCCAGCCAGCCAGCCAGCTCAACGCACCAGTGGCATCCGCAAACGATCATGGCGAAAAGGACTGGCAACGTGGACGTGCTCATCACGAAGCGCGACATCACGATCGACGACGTGATGAACAACCCCATTGCTGTGGGGTATCTCTTGGACTTTTGCCAAAAGAACCTGTGCGCCGAGAACCTCAACTTTGTCGTGGCCGTGGACCGGTACAAGGACCGATGCGAGGTGCTCGACTTCAACGACGAGGAAGACGTCAAGACGTGCGGCGCCATGGCGGCCACGATTTGGAAGGACTTTTTGTCGCGCAACTCGCCCAACGAAGTGAGCTTGCCGTCTGAGGACCGCCAAGTGACTATCGAGCGCATGGACAAGATCACAAAGTTCAAGGGCAAGCTGTTTGACGTGGCAATTCAAGACGCCATGAAGACGCTCCAGCGAGACATTATGAACCGGTTCATCAAGTCGTCGCAGTTCTCGGAGCTCGTGTCGCGGCTGTCCGAGGCCGCCGACGCGTTCGACCCGTTCGAGCTCGTGCCGCCGTCCAACATTACCACGTCGTCGACGACGATCGAAACCGCCGAAATCACCCTCGACGACATCCTCGCAGACGCGGTGCTCTTTGAAGAGCTCCACACGTACCTGAACAAAAGTACGTCGTCGTGTGCCATGCCTGCATGTATATCTATCTTGTGTGATAACACTCCTGTGGTTGTCGAGTGTCCCGTGATAGTATTAGTGCGTGTTTGGATGTGTCGCAGCTAACTCAATTGGTCATGCTTTGGCCTGTGTTGGTGGTAGTTGTGATCTGGGTTTGAATGAGTGTTGTTTCGACTGTGTATGATGCCATCCTCTGTCGTCTTCTGCTGTCGCGGAGACGATGATGAATGAGCTTGTAAACCACAGTAGCCGCAGCAGTACCATAGTGTTGTCAGCAATTGTGACATCGTGCCACATGGAGATTATCAAGTCATCACATGTGGGGATAGAATTCAACGCGGAAAACTTGAAGTGCGTGCGCGAGATCTGCATCTTTGACGACCTGGCCAAGGCTAAGGACGTGGTCGTGACCAAGAAGAAGGCGTGGGCGATCTACCGCAACTTTGTCATGGCCGGGAGTCAGTTTGAAGTGTCGTGCAGCAACGCCACGCGCAAAAACGTCATGCAGCACCTTGGGTGCCCCGTCGAGAAGATGTTTGACGAAGTCAAAGAGACCACGGTCATGACGCTCAAGCAAGACCTCAAGGGGTTCCTCTCGGCGCTCGATCGAAAATCCATCAAGGACCAGCTCAAAAAGCTCGAAAAAGGCAACAAAGTTGGGCTCATGCAGAACATTTCCAACAAGTTCTTTCGAAAGTGATGTCTCCCCCAACCAACCTCCAACCTAACAAGACACAAACCCACAACTGTTGGTCATGCTTTCTTTACCATGTTCTTTGCCATCTTCACGAAGGCAATCCAACCTTCTACATGCGCACAACTACTGTAACTACCGGTAGAACGGCACACCACGCTTTCATCTTTGAGCGATCAATGCATGCTAAAACACGTTGATCAAGATCGTCATGCTGCATACATATCCGATTGCAACATTCAGTTGGATCGTCAGCGGCAGCAGGACCACGACGAGGAGTAGCACAGTCCCTTTAGCTCCAACCAGGGCACACGGGTTGTGTGTGTGTCCCTTCACAGCCGATCGCATTTGACCAAGGACACGTCCATGCGACGGGCGGTGGGAATGTTGGTTGGAATGACGTTGGGGGTTGGAATGGGATCGTGGTGGTGTGGGGTTGGAATGACGCAGTGGCACACAATTTCCCACGTGAGTTGCACTTTGGGGGTGGAATGGGCAAAGTGCAGTTGCAACGTCACGACAAACGTCGGGTTGAACAGCGCCCGGAGCGCCCACACGTCGCGCAAAATGCCTTCCTCGACGATCGTCACCGTGACGACGCTATCGTCACCCTTCGTCGCGACGACCACCACGTCGTGGACGACACGCAACTCGTCCAGCAACTGCGCTTTGGTCGTCCAAATCGATTCCAAACTCACGTGGGGGCCGACAACGAACGCATCGCAAAAGGTCGCGCGTTCGCCCACGACATCGCACGACTCGCGCGAGTAAAACGACGACGTTGCTGACGAAGTTGCTGACAAAGTTGCTGGTTCGTTGTCGCGGGGGATGCCCACAAATGTCCTGAAAAACGACGCCGCCGTTTCTTCACACAGCGACATCCGTGTTTGAGGAGCAAAACCGCGAGGACTGTCCACAGGTCCTCCATCACCGGGCGACTCTGATTGGGGGCATGACGTGGCAGCAGATGACATGGTGGCAACGTTCTGGCCTTTCTCGGTCGGCGCGACGGGCAACGCCTCATGATTGGACGGATGGTGATACTGTTGGTGCTGCTGGCGGCGGTTGTCCTGGTGCATAAGAGTCGGATCGTACGCTGCATGATGACGGAGAAGATGGTTGGGGCTTGGACAACCATGCATGTCGTCCAAGGCATACCCGAGCAACGCGTGAATTTCTTGGTGCAACGCAGCATTCGTGCGGCATAACTGCGTCACTTGTACCTTGAGGGTTTCCCGGATGACCTTTTTGCGCTTGCGGTTGGCCCGGCACGCGAGTCGGTTCTTCAGGCGGCGTTGGGTGGCCTTGATGTGCTCCGTGTCCTGGTTCTCGTGGGGGGTGTGGGGAGGATCATGGCTCGTGTCGTCTTGAGGATGTAATGACGCCATCTCTGCCGAAGGCATGTCGAGGTTGTGGTCGACGACGGAAGGTGGAGGAGGCGACGGCTCCACGGGAAAGTTCATCTTGTCGACCTTGACACCTACGACGGTACAAGGATGTGGGGTCGTATTCAGGACGGTGCGTACAGTATTGCCGAGCTTCGTCAGTGCATTTGGTGCATTCACGGAGGTGTCGTCGCAGCGAGTTGGACCGCGCCGAGATCTTGACGTGGCAGTACATGCACCGCACGCGAGGGATTTTCTTGGGCGGTTTGAGAAACGTCGCCACGCCGCCACTTCCGACAGAGGCAGAAGGAGGTACTGCATCCTCCTCTTCAAACTCCGGGGACCCAAAGTATCTCCATTCCGGCCCTCGCTCAATGGCCGCTGCCACCGCCGTCGCCTTCTTCACCGGTCCAGCCTTGCTCATGTCGACTTTTTTTGTCAAGTGTCGTCAACTGAATGATGAGGTCAATGCGATTGGGAGTTGAAATGTTTTTTATTCCATTCAAAATGGTAGTCAAATTATAAAAATGTTGAAATATCAACCGGATACATATCCGGATGACGACAGCTGCTATTGTTGAAAAGCCGAGAGCTCATGCGATGTGTTGTGTCAAGGTGCGTAGGTATGTGTCCACACTTGTCCACGACGCCATCATTGGGCTTGCCGGGTGCCGCTCGTCGGTCCCCGTCCGTCTGGTGTGCTCTATCGCCATGATATCCGCTGCAAACACCTTCATCGTCTTCCCGCGACGCTGCACGAGTCGCCTCCACGCCGGTTCAATCGCGAGCCAGTCGGTCTCCCATGTCCACGTCCACAACAAGCGTTCGACTTGGTCATCGCTGAGCATCCCATCGTGTTGCGTTGTCGACGTCACGTACGCGGCACACTCGTCGGCTTCCAACCGTGCCCACGCATGTACATCCGAGTGTTCCAGTATCCGATCGCGATACAGGAAGAACCGGGCGTCGGTGAACAGCACAAACGCCAGCGCAGCGACGTCGACCCAGGCTGCCGTCGTCGTATCTTGCGTCGTGTGTTGGAATTGGCGGCACAGCGGCACCAACCACTTGGTCGAAGCAGCCATTCCCACAGCGCCAGACGATAGCAACACTGGGACACTGGGCTTGTCTTGGGCATGCGATTGACATACTTGCACTACCAGTCGACCCACCACCTCTTCCTCTTCCTCATCCTCCTCGCAATCTTCCTCTTCTTCGTTCGTGACCTCATGTAGTTCAACTTGTTTTCGCCTCTGAACGACCTCCACCGACACCACGCCATACGGACGCTGCCGCAGCGCGTCCGTCACGGAAACGTGCGCCACCCTCTCGCCAATCTGCATGTGGATCGCATACGTTTGTAAAAACAACGTCATGGGACCATCCATGCGCACGGGGAAATGCCGCGTCGGGCCTTGGATGGGGACATACACATGCTTCCCTCGTTGTGATTGTCCAGGGATCATTAACATGTCCACGGTCACGTGTTGGAAGCCCAAGAACGAATACACGAGCGACATTGTTGGCGGTCGTCGGCTGCCGCCGTTCGAATTTCTCAAACGACCATCATTCGACATGGGTGGTGGGGAATGTTGGTCCCTGGCTGTTGTGGAGGCTGAAATCAGCATGGATAGCACTGTCACTTGAAACTCGACGTCTTCCACGAGATGAGAGGAAGCATGGACGACGGCGTGATCGAGGAACGATCCAGCAGGCATCCCGTTGGGGGTTTCGTCTCGCTCTGTCACAGCATGGTCATGTCGAGGTTGAGAGGATGCCACGTTGGATTTCGCTAGATGTGTACTTCGTGGTCGTTGCTTCACCGATCCACGTGTAGCCGTCATGGCCATATTCGACTCCATGGTCGTTCGATTTCGCTGAAGTTTGTTTGCCGAATGGGCCTGCCAGTACGCCACTTCCAGCGCATGGTGCGCTTGCATTTGGTTGAGTTCATCCAGTAAGTCATCATTCAGGGCTTTCAACACGGTCACCTTGTGGTCAGCCTCCCGCAGCAACTGCAACATGGACGAGATATGCGACGGTGTTATTTGCTGGCTGTTGCGTGTCTCGAGCGTTATGCCCGACGATGGCGACTCGTGTGGCTCCAGAACGTCGTCGTCTAGAAACCCCACGACATGCGGATTCGATGTCGCACATTTGGTCACGTGGGCCAACGCCGCCACCAACAACTCGTTGCTCGGATCTTGCAGCAACGTCACCTGCAACGCCACACGGTTGTACTGCAATTGCAGCTCATCTCGTTCTAACCGGATGGCGGCTTCGGCACTGCCCAACTCGTGGACTTGAGCCTCCATCGATCGAAGGCGACGTTTGAGCGCGGCATTTTGCCGCTCGATCACTTGTTTATGGTGCGTTTCGTTGTCTAGTTGCGCTGCCAGCACACTCGCGTGTCCTTCAACGTCGGCAAGTTGCACAAGCAGTTTCTGGACCGTCGACTGGTCGCCAAATAACGGCCGACTCGTTAAGGTATCCATGGCTTCATGCAGTCGCAACGATTCGTTCCGCAGGTGCAGCACGTCCTACCCTTGCAACATTAGCAACTACTTGGAAGTATATATTAATTTATTGTCGATTTTCTTCAAATTTCCCAATTTTGCATGGTTCGTTCAATCGAGCACAAGTATAGCTGAGACATCTCATTGGCCATTATCCACTTTGCCCTTTCCAGTAGAAACTCGAAAATGGATTGTAGCCAATCAGCGACAAGTAATTTCGGATTGACCAATGGGAGAGATTGGTGCTCGATTCGCTCGGGGTCCGGAAATTCATACCGACTCTCCAATATAAAGGGGCTACTAATATAAAGTATATATAAGGGTCACACCCCAATTGCAAGCCCTAGTATGTTTCCGAAAATTGGGTTAGGGCCACCACACAAAGTAGGCCAGAAAACACCTCATTTTGAAACTTTTCAGAAATATTATGATAATTTTTCAAACGACGGCTTTTGCGTGTTTGGCTACCAAATCTGACACATATCACAATAATACGTCGAATTTTACTGTTGTCTGACAGAAAAATGGTTGACCTGCAACTGTCCAGTTTCTACCAACATGATATTCTATCGATAGTTGTCATTCCATCATGGTATCCAGAGGTTACATCAAAATATTTTGAAAATATTTTTTCGCCTCCCATTTGAAAAAAGATTCTCTATCAGAATATTGATAGACATGAACATTTCTGTGGCATCCAGTGTGGCTGGATCAAACTGATTTCGAAGGAATAAACAGTTAATGCCAACTTTTCGAAAAAATATCGACGTCCAGACGCACATATCAACAGTAATACATCAAGAAATATATAGCTTGTCTACCGTATACCTTATGGATCTGTACCCCCGAAAATGTCAGTAAAATCTGATCGAAATGGATACAACTTCATAAGGTGGTCTGATTTCTTTCCAATGCGTTACTTCTACAACTTCGACTTGTTTAATTGGCTAGAACGAGATAATTGGACAGTTTTGACCAATATAATGACACTTTGGGTACAGCCTTCCAAGGTACCACCAAATCGTACTTTATTGACACCATACAGCAATTTGGGTACAACTCGATACGGCAAAATCATGGGTACTGATCCATAAGGTATACGGTAGAACCAGCGGACAGAAACGATCTAAAAGGCGGGTCATTCATGATTGGATAGTTTCGAATTTGGAGAGGGGTGCGTGATCAACCGAATGAGCAGCACCAAATCGGCAGACAATTGATATGTCGACCAATCAAAACCCAGATCACTTTCAATTGGCCAATCAAACTCTTGCAACCGTCGTCGAATTCTCTAAGATTTGATAGTAGAAAATTCAAACAATGGGTCGGGTAAATAAATATAAAAAATCAATGTGACACTTCAAATCGTGTGCTTCCCAAAATTCAACACTATAACAAATCGACCGATGGATTTACAGTGAGTGTGAATTCAGCTAAAAAAAATGCAAATGTTGGCTGCAAGCACACTGGTATTGTCAAATCATCATTCGAAACTGGAGCCCTCATCGAATGTCTTGAGCGCATGGATTAAAGATTAAAGATCCGCCTAAGCCAATCAAATCACGTTCTGGTAAATTTCTGCTAGTCCAAATGTTTGATTGGGCAACACCATATAACGTTATATCCTACTCAGTGTTGTATATAGTACAAGCTTAAATTGGATATTCAAATGGATTCGAATGCTACATATTTGGCGAAATGACTCACAAGTCCAAATATTTGGGTGAAATGCACAATAATATGATTCAAATAGACTACCACGAATCAGGACGTGAGCAATATACATGGTTGATACGAGCTAGAATAAACATATACATGGCGAAGACTGGCAATGGTCGCGTCCTTCGTCGGCAGTTGCCGCGCCACGAGCTCCAACTGGGCCACCTGACGCTGCAATTCGACGTTGTCGTTGAATAGCGACTGCATTTTCA